GGGAAAGTTGGTTATCTACTTATCATAGAAATCAGGAACTTTGTACCATAGAAAATGGGAAATATCTACTATCTGGGAAAGTTGGTTATCTACTATCCCAAAAAGTAGATTTTCTACTTTTCGGGAAAGTAGATTATCGACTTTTGGGAAAATATTACCTAATTTTGCAAAGTAGATTATCATAGAAAACGGGAAATTTGTATCATAGAAAATTGGAAATATCTACTTTCCGGGAAAGTTGGTTATCTACTTTCCCGAAAAGTAGATTTTTTTCTACTTTTCGGGAAAGTAGATTATCGACTTTTCTGGGAAGTAAATTATCGAATTTTGGGGAAATATTGCCTAATTTTGCGAAGTAGATTATCATAGAAAACGGGAAATTTGTATCATAGAAAATGGGAAATATCTACTTTCCGGGAAAGTTGGTTATCTACTTTCCCGAAAAGTAGATTTTTCTACTTTTCGGGAAAGTAGATTATCGACTTTTCTGGGAAGTAAATTATCGAATTTTGGGGAAATATTACCTAATTTTGCGAAGTAGATTATCATAGAAAACGGGAAATTTGTATCATAGAAAATGGGAAATATCTACTTTCCGGGAAAGTTGGTTATCTACTTTCCCGAAAAGTAGATTTTTTTCTACTTTTCGGGAAAGTAGATTATCGACTTTTCTGGGAAGTAAATTATCGAATTTTGGGGAAATATTACCTAATTTTGCGAAGTAGATTATCATAGAAAACGGGAAATTTGTATCATAGAAAATGGGAAATATCTACTTTCCGGGAAAGTTGGTTATCTACTTTCCCGAAAAGTAGATTTTTTTTCTACTTTTCGGGAAAGTAGATTACCGGCTTTTCTGGGTAGTAAATTATCGAATTTTGGGGAAATATTGCCTAATTTTGCGAAGTAGATTATCATAGAAAACGGGAAATTTGTATCATAGAAAATGGGAAATATCTACTTTCCGGGAAAGTTGGTTATCTACTTTCCCGAAAAGTAGATTGTTTTCTACTTTTCGGGAAAGTAGATTATCGACTTTTCTGGGAAGTAAATTATCGAATTTTGGGGAAATATTACCTAATTTTGCGAAGTAGATTATCATAGAAAACGGGAAATTTGTATCATAGAAAATGGGAAATATCTACTTTCCGGGAAAGTTGGTTATCTACTTTCCCGAAAAGTAGATTTTTTTTCTACTTTTCGGGAAAGTAGATTACCGGCTTTTCTGGGTAGTAAATTATCGAATTTTGGGGAAATATTACCTAATTTTGCGAAGTAGATTATCATAGAAAACGGGAAATTTGTATCATAGAAAATGGGAAATATCTACTTTCCGGGAAAGTTGGTTATCTACTTTCCCGAAAAGTAGATTTTTTTTCTACTTTTCGGGAAAGTAGATTATCGACTTTTCTGGGAAGTAAATTATCGAATTTTGGGGAAATATTACCTAATTTTGCGAAGTAGATTATCATAGAAAACGGGAAATTTGTATCATAGAAAATGGGAAATATCTACTTTCCGGGAAAGTTGGTTATCTACTTTCCCGAAAAGTAGATTTTTTTCTACTTTTCGGGAAAGTAGATTATCGACTTTTCTGGGAAGTAAATTATCGAATTTTGGGGAAATATTACCTAATTTTGCGAAGTAGATTATCATAGAAAACGGGAAATTTGTATCATAGAAAATGGGAAATATCTACTTTCCGGGAAAGTTGGTTATCTACTTTCCCGAAAAGTAGATTTTTTTTCTACTTTTCGGGAAAGTAGATTACCGGCTTTTCTGGGTAGTAAATTATCGAATTTTGGGGAAATATTGCCTAATTTTGCGAAGTAGATTATCATAGAAAACGGGAAATTTGTATCATAGAAAATGGGAAATATCTACTTTCCGGGAAAGTTGGTTATCTACTTTCCCGAAAAGTAGATTTTTTCTACTTTTCGGGAAAGTAGATTATCGACTTTTCTGGGAAGTAAATTATCGAATTTTGGGGAAATATTACCTAATTTTGCGAAGTAGATTATCATAGAAAACGGGAAATTTGTATCATAGAAAATGGGAAATATCTACTTTCCGGGAAAGTTATTATTTTTCCCGAAAAGTAGATTTTTTTTCTACTTTTCGGGAAAGTAGATTATCGACTTTTCTGGGAAGTAAATTATCGAATTTTGGGGAAATATTACCTAATTTTGCGAAGTAGATTATCATAGAAAACGGGAAATTTGTATCATAGAAAATGGGAAATATCTACTTTCCGGGAAAGTTGGTTATCTACTTTCCCGAAAAGTAGATTTATTTTCTACTTTTCGGGAAAGTAGATTATCGACTTTTCTGGGAAGTAAATTATCGAATTTTGGGGAAATATTACCTAATTTTGCGAAGTAGATTATCATAGAAAACGGGAAATTTGTATCATAGAAAATGGGAAATATCTACTTTCCGGGAAAGTTGGTTATCTACTTTCCCGAAAAGTAGATTTTTTTTCTACTTTTCGGGAAAGTAGATTACCGGCTTTTCTGGGTAGTAAATTATCGAATTTTGGGGAAATATTGCCTAATTTTGCGAAGTAGATTATCATAGAAAACGGGAAATTTGTATCATAGAAAATGGGAAATATCTACTTTCCGGGAAAGTTGGTTATCTACTTTCCCGAAAAGTAGATTTTTTTCTACGTTTCGGGAAAGTAGATTATCGACTCTTCTGGGAAGTAGATTATCGACTTTTGGGGAAATATTACCTAATTTTGCGAAGTAGATTATCATAGAAAACGGGAAATTTTTATCATAAAAAATTGGAAATATCTACATTCTGGGAAAGTTGGTTATCTACTTATCATAGAAAACGGGAAATTTTCATGATAGAAAATGGGAAATATATACTTTCCGGGAAAGTTGGTCATCTATTTTCCTGAAAAGTAGATTATCTACTTTTCGGGAAAGTAGATTATCGACTTTTCGGGGAAGTAGATTATCGACTTTTGGGGAAATTTTACCTAATTATCGACTTTTCGGGGAAGTAGATTATCGACTTTTGGGGAAATTTTACCTAATTTTCCGACGTAGATTATCACTGGAGTCGGTACAGCGAAAATTGGCGGATAAAAAAGTAATTAATTAGTCCTCGGTTATACAGTACTAGCAGTTCTGGGGTAATGGATTGCATTCTATTACTATAAATAGAAGATAGTTATTCTAAAATATATCATTTATATACAGATTAAAATAGGTTATTTATTTTACGAAGCGTATGATTTGAAAATGAAATTACAATTGAATAATGAATAGTGATGCATAAGTAAGACATTTAAAAATCTGTACTGTAATATGAAAAAATAGAATAAATTAATGTAATATTAAGAAAGGAAGTGTGTTCTGAATAAGAAGAATATAAGAGCTGCAGACTTTTTGAACTTTCCACATGCAGAATCGCAAGTATTTTTGTAGAGTGGTGAAATGACAAATTAAAAAAATATACTAATAAGTAGTGGATACAGGTACGACAGCCGTTTGAAGGTAACATTATTTTTTCGGTTATCTCTATATTTAGATACAGACGTTGGTGGATATTTTGCCGTGACTGGCTAATTTCTTACTAACGCTATTTTACCGTGAGTGAGCTTTGATTGGCTAAGTACTTTTTGTTTAATATTACAGGGGTCAGCCCCCGGCTTGGAAGTTAGGTAGGTTTCTTTGGTTGGTTAGGTCAAATATAGTTCTTGAATTGTTAAGCAGTAATGGACAGTTAGCTATAAAGAGCGCACTCTTGGTAAAATAGCATTAGGAACTTACTGGTTACGGCAAAATATCTACTGCCATTTAGACATCCAAACTAATTTAACCTAACGTAACCTAACCAACCTAACTTATTGGAACTAAATCTAACCTATATCTAACCAAACTGATCCAGACCTCCTAAAATTCGCTGTATTTAAGCCTCTCTCTGTCCATGTAATCCAGTTGCCTCTGAAGATGTCTTGAATAAAGACGAAAGCTAAGGTGCTCCGTTGTTTCCCTTTTCCCGTGTGATTTTATCGAGATTTATCTCATCCACGTTTTCATTGTGGATCAACATGAAATATATATATATATATATATATATATATATATATATATATATATATATATATATATATATATATATATATATATATATATATATATATATATATATATATATATATATATATATATATATTCAGCTGGCCGCATGTATAACAATTCCCGGCCACATACGGCCGGAAAAGGGAAGGTTGAGGAGCCCTGACAGACGACCCGCGCCTTGCACACTCTCGCCCTCTGTTGATCCCGCGGACAACTATATGCTTTACACGGTTTTTGCCTGTCTTTCTTATTATAGTCTTTGGCTATACCGGGGAACAAGAACAGATTGGTTGGACACAGAGGAATATGTGGCCTGTATGGACTTTATAAAAACATTTCGAGTCCCTTTGAATTCTTTAGAACTGGTGTTTTTGAGAAACAAATGACCGGCTATTGTTATTATTATAATTATTACCTTACTTACTTTTTACCTTTATCCTCTTCACCACTGATCGGCTCGTTAGCCGCTTGGGCAAAGTTGAGGGTAGGTGGGCCAGGAGAAAGCAGAGACTGGGATGAATAAATTAAATTAAAAACTGGGTCCCCCAAAGATACAAAACCTAAGGTAGGTTTAAGGGGTTGATAGAAACAGCCCATGAACGTTTAGAGTGAAGGACTGTGATCACCAACCCTCAGATATGAGAATGGTACTCTGATGGATTGATTGATTTCATCAGTATACAGAACAATGTTTACGTAGCTGATAGTAATGCCCACAGTAGTGATTTAAACTGCGCGCCACCTTAACATATCTGGAGAAATACTGGTTGACGTATCCATCAGAATTAATCAATCGAATATGATATATATTCAATAACTTATACTATTCATCTGTAAATTTTATCTAATATGTATGTGTGATAATAAATATGATTATCTTAGAAATTAGTTAGATGACGTCATTTTGTAATCGTGGCTGAGTGTGTTTACAGTACTGTACTGGGTCGGTGGCTGGTGTATGGACATTAATGGTCAGTTCTTATCATATTATGGGCCACAAGTAAGAATTATATGTCCAGTGTTTAGTAATATTAACTGCATTTGATGGTTGGTACAGTGCATATAGATAATATGTTCTCGTAACGTAGAAAGAATAGGGTGGAAAGGTTAGCCTTGAAAAGATCTCCTGCTCTGTATGTCATCAGTACCAGCTTTCCATCTTCCTCTATACACAGATTTAATAGAAATATTTTTAAATGTTCATATATTGTGTGGTTAAGTGGTAAGTGTTCAGTTATAGTGAAAAGCCCTCGTAATTTGACTTAAATTGTGAAGTGTGTGTGAAAATATTGTGATTCCTAGGATTATGAAAGTATATTATGGTTCTTTATAATATTATACCTGTATTGTGTCTTAAAGAATGATTGAAGGTAATATTTACTTACCCGTATATGCTTGAGTTATGCAGTTTGTTTTATTTTTTTTTCTTACATAATTATTACATTACAGTATTTCCTGTTGCAGAAACAGGTTGTTCACATAAATAAAAAAAGTTAAAAATTAATTGAAACTTTTAGCTTATTTAGATACATATGTAAAGGTTCTCCATGAAGAACAGTGTCCAGGTTGATGTTTACAAATGTAAGTTGGAAGAGTATGGCAAGCTAATGTAACCTAACAAAAAGGCAGTAGATATTTTGCCATGACCGGCTAAGTTTCTAATAATGCTATTTTACCATGATTGCACTCTCATTGGCTAATCGTCCATTACCGGCGAACAATGCAAGAACGACATGTGACCATGACTCCGGTAGCATTTGGCATTTACAGCACCTCCCCGACTTACGACCTGCCTCAGTCGTACCAACATTTTGTCAAAGTACGTATTTACGAGTCCCAACGTCAGTACACAGACAAAATTTTCGTTTGTAATTCACCTTAAAATGGCTGGCAAGCTTAAAAGTGAGAGTTTTGTGGTGCTGAGAAGAAAAAGAGACACTTATTTTAGATTTCTATGTATTTTTTAAGCATTTTCGACATAAGACCATTTCGACTAACGACCTGGATTTGGGTCCCTAACCCCATCGTAAGTCAGGGAGGAGCTGTATTAGTGCCATGAGTCGATTGTTGTGTAGCTATAAACATACTTAACCAGAAGGAGTTGTTCAATTTTGTTCCTTTTTTCCCACATGTTCTTATTATAAAGGAGGTGACATTTATTCGAACCTAATAGCACCTGACCTATCCAACCAAAGAAACCTACCTAACCTGGTAATACTGTATTGAAGTAAACAGCAACCACAGAATTCGGAAATTCACTACAATCAATTGATAAAACTATTTTTTTCTCTGATAATTTTCTTATATTACACTTCCATTGCAAATTGATAATAAGTAAGTTAGTGACTGGGTTATTACATAGTGTCTGGGGGTCCGGGCACGAAGCCCCCGGCTTGGGCCACGGGGGGTCCGGGCGCAAAGCCCCCGGCTAGGGCCACCGGGGGTCCGGGGGCAGAGACTCCAGCTAGGGGGTTAAGTAACATTTAGTTTGGTTATATTGTATAAGTTAGCAAGCACAGAGTACCGGGAATTCAGAACAAGCAATCGATAGAACTATTATTTCTATTTTTTTGTAAATGACAGAATTTGTTACATAATGTGTTCTGATGTTTTCTTGTTGCGATTAGGACAATTTGGGAATTTGCTTCTACCACAAATCACTCGTTTTGTCTCTCCCCCACCCAGAACCCCGAATTCCCATGCGCTTCCCCATTATTGTTAGAGGGAGGGGGGGGGGGCTAAATCCCAAACGAGTGATTTCCGATAAAAACTAATGTCAGATTTGAACCAATCACATTATAAACAATCTTTTTTTTTTATCAGATTCTTTGCTTGCTGTAATCTGCAATTTTACCCCTAACCTTACTAACTTCCTAGCCAGGGGGCGGACCCCCTGTCATATAAAACAGAAATTCCTTAGCCAGTCAGGTGCACTCACAGTAAAATAGCATTAGTAGGAACTTGGCTGGTTTTGGCAATATGTCCATGATGTAACATGGTACAGCATAGTATGTAAAGTATTTGAGAGCATTATAAGAGAAGCCATGATGGAACATCTACTACGAAACAACCTTGTAAAGGATTGCCAACACGGTTTTATGCTGGGGTGCTCCTGCTTAATACAATTACTCAAGGTACTGGATGTTTGGACCCAAATTCTGGAACAGGGTGGTAATAACAATATATACCTGGATTTTGCCAAGGCTTTCGATGGCGTACCCCATGAAAGGCTGATAATTAAACTGGAAGGGTACGGGATTCGGAGAGATGTACTATCGTGGATCGGAGACTTTCTCCATGACTGCAAGCAGGGTGTGGTGATTAATGGCACGAAATCATCATGTTATGATGCCAACTGCATTAAAAAGTAAATAAACAAGGAGTTGTGACTCCATCTTGCCAGCTGTTCCTGCCCTGTGAGTTGGCATTACAGGTTAATACCGTATAATTTTTTACTGAGGTACTCAACAACTACCCCGCCTTTATAATATCAATTGGTCATTGACAATGTTATTTACCCTGGTCTTGATAAAAATAAGATATGAATAATATTATTAATGTATTTGGTCAGATAAATAGTAAGACACTATTACTGTACAGTATTAGCCAATGCATTGGGTCAGTTAAAGCCCTGAACACAAGTCACTTAACACAAATCCTTGGCAGTGCTCCATTTTGATATTTGGAAGTACTAACCACACTGATAAAAACCTGGTAAATGAGACCTACGGTGGCGTTTGTATAAATTTTTTATACCTATCAGTACCGTACCCATTGTGCCACCTTTTGATTCACTATAATTTCATCATTTTTGGCCTTATGCTGTACCCTGAACTAGTGGTGTTATTTAGTTTTATGGTCCTTTAGTTAAATATAATTTTGCATTTAACCTGTAGGGTTGCTAGTAGTGTGTGATGACGACTCGGCGGAGGCGTGCGGGTTCTGAGTCTTACGTGGAGGAGCCGACTGTCCCTGGGGCTTCTACTGTTCAGAAACCTCAGCAGCCACATGCCCAGCCTACTTTAACACAGTCCCCTTACTCCCTGTATCCTCAGGTATGTTGTTGCACACTCTTACCACTAATGCAGGTGGCACTTTATCCATTCCTGATGTAGGGATCTTTCGTGTTTATTTTTAATACATTTTCTTAAGATTTTATTTGTCCATGAATAGCACTTAACTCTGTCCTTGACATCACAATACTATGTAGATGATTTGTAAATTTTTCAGATAAAAATTTAGAAAATACAAAGGTGAAGCCACTTTAATTACAGGTTTATGATACTTCTAGATTTTTTTAAAAATATAAATACTCTGTCAAATCAATAAAATATCTATTAAAAATATTTATAATTAATCCCTTAAACTTTCACATGCACTGCTTTGTTGTGTGTGGATTTGTGTGTATCGTTCAAAGCCACACAATGAGGAGCTGGAGGCTCTTTCACCAGATACCTCATCCTAAACTCCTTGAAGGTAGCTACCCTCTCCTTCCCTGCTGTGGCATTTACTTTGGATTTTGAATATCTACATTGAAGTTGGTATGCATATAAATACTTATACCAGTTTTAGGATTTTGCTATTTTTTTATTTTTTGTATAATTATGATGGCAAGTTCTCATAGGTCTAACCATGAGTCGATTATTCCTGAGATGTTTTAGGCACTAACCATCTCCTCAAATCTAAGTTGGTAAAACTTGATGTCTACCATCTAGTTGTCACAATACTGCATTGAGAAAGTGTGTGGACAAGGTTAGTGTTGCCTGAGTGAGCTTAACCAAGCAAAAGGAAGGATATAGAAAAGAAAGAATGACTCAAGATAGGAAGACAATAAGTGCTTGGGAATAGGAAAATAGCCTTCACTATATTAAGTTTTAACAAAATATGTAATGGCTCATTTTATTACAGGTAACGATTATGTTATTTTGTTGTTTTAAAAAGTATTGTTAGTCCATTTCCTAGCGACATCTTCTATCAGAGTCTTGCAATGATTCTTGACCATATTCTTATTCTTTCTTTGTACAGGTTGCTAATGCAGTAAACAACAATCTTCAGTGGGGCTCGGCTACTTGTAACAGTCAGGCATACTATAAGAAGACAGACACAGTGGATCCTGGTGGTGTAGGTCAAGTAGCAGCAGCAACAACACCTTATACCGGACAACCTTGGCCAACACAGCCTACTCAGCCATACTTTTACACACCTCAGGGAAATAGTAATACACAATCTGGTGGAACATTTTATGGAACTGACAATAAGCAGTGGAATCCCAGTACTAGTGGAGCTAATAGTAGCAGTAATAATCAGTGGAGTAACAGTGGTACTCATTGGAACACAGGTGCAGTGAGTAACAGTGAAACATTGAACAAAACTCACGGTTCTGGTGGACATTTGAATAGAAGTGCCTCAGATTGGTCAAGTGTAGGTTCACACTTGTCTAGCATTGACGACGTCGACATGGCATCCCGAGACCGTACACAGGAGTTTGCACGGATTGTGCGTTCACAGCAGGGGAGTTACACAAATGGTGTCTTACCCCACCATGAAGGAAAACGACCAAGAGATCTACATGAATACAAAGACTTCATGCAGAGAGCCAAGTAAGTGATGCCATTTACAGAATATTATTCTGGTTACTATCATACAAGTTGCTAAGTACAACTAGAATTGTGTTCTATGATACAGTATTTAATTTAAGAATACTGTAGGTGAAAATATATACGTATTTATTTTTGGACAGTAGGCAGTATTTAAAAATACTGTACAGATGCAGTATTTGCAAAAAAGCAAATGGTAAGTTTAAGAAATATTCTAATATCAGTAGGTTGAAGGAGAAGAAAACTGCAACCTTTTATAAGTGTGCACAACATGTAGTTTTGTTAAATTACTGGGCTAGGCTAAATCTTTTCGCATGAGCCTGGTTGGAAAAAAGCATGTCATAAATGATTTATGGCAAGACACTAATTTAAATCATGTCATAAATGTCATAATGAAATCAAATGCTGTACAGTACAGTAAACCCTCAATAACTCGGCACATATGGGGCTCTAGCCTTGCCGAGTTATCCCAAATTCCGACCCATACATGTGTACATGTAATTAAATGTAAGAAAGTAACACTTACCAGCACTGTAGGTAAAGAATGAAGCATCAAAGTATGTTATGGTAGGTGATGCAGGTGTCCAGATATGCCAAAATTTTCCCAGATAATGTTATATATATCTCGGCATTTCCCGAGTTATACTAATACATTCCGAGACCTTATCCATGTCGAGTTATATGAAATTCCGAGTTATCGAGGGTTTACTGTACTTGTGAAAACTAGCAGCATTATAATTAGTTCAGAAAAGGAAAATAAAACTAATATAAACCTATTGCACTTAAATTTGCTCTTAAAAGACCAAAATTTACGTTGATATGTATCCTGAATTGGTTGATATCAGGACAAGAAGTACAGTGATATCCCCGTCAGCTGGAACAATTAGTGCAGAGCACTTCCGGGAATCAGAGATTTCCGGGTAACGAGACGACTTTCTCAAAGCCGGAAAAAAATCCCTCATCCCAGGTTTGAGGGATTCCGGCTAACGGAGATATTACTGTACAGTATTTCAGTTACGTTAAATGCGTTAAATAAACACTCAAAATGGGTGATTACCTTAAGTGACAATGTTGGAGTTTATATTACATCAAACTAAGTACTGTATAAAGATAGGATATCCTTCAATATAAATTGATACTTATGGTTTACTGATGTAAATGGAGGTCGGGAATTAATGGTGAACCTTAGTTGGTGAGCCCCTCCATGATTGATGGTTTATACTGAAGGTGGTAAGTGTTGTGTTTCAATGGTCAGGATTGTTAAGGAACTGACGATGGTGGGTAATTTGACATTCGGTGGTAGCTGGTAGGATGTGCATGGAGACATGTTATTATAAAGGTTGAAGAGGTCTTAATAATGTATACAGTGAACCCTCACTTTACGCGGTCAATTGAACCCACGGCGGCCCGCGTAAAGTGAACAACCTAACATATGGGATTAATTGAAATAGAGACCGGGCCGATCCCCAAACTCCACTTTTTCAGACACAATACCTACGTTGTAGTAAAAATAACTTCTTAATTTTATGATGGTATGCACACACAATTAATAATTAAGAGAAATATCAATAATATTAGGTTTTTTAACACTTACATTAGTAGAAAAGATGGCTGGGCACACAGGGATGGGGGTTGGTTCCGAGGCAGAGGGCAGATTATTGGCCCTCACCTGTATCACTTGTATCAATTGTATCACTATCCACCACAGAGGCTTGCAGGGCCTCTTTGTCAAACCCCTCAAAGTCCATATAAGTCCATATCCTCACTATCATTATCACTATCGCTGACTTGGGCCGGCTGTGGTGGGTGGCGGGTGAAGAACTCGGTAATGTTTTGATGACTGGGCGACCTTGTGCGCACCCTGCTCGCACCGCTCTGCGTAAAAGGGTACACACACCGCGGAAAATGAGCATTCTGGTTTCGGCAGGGTACCGCGTAAACGTGGAAACGCGTAAAGTGGGACCGCGTAAAGCGAGGGTTGACTGTATACTGTATTGTAATATGAAAATATTCATTTATGACATTTTAACGTGTCAAAAATTCCAGATTTAAATCATTATTTTAAGTCATTGTACCATTCCTGGTATAGGTAATACATAATGGTATTATCAAAGTTATTACAGTAATTAAAGAACTAAGATTGTACAGTATAGAAAATGTGCAAATGATGCCATAGTTATATTTATCAGTGTTACTTCATTGCTAGCGGCATAAGGTAGAATGCATGTGTGAATGACTTCATCCACAGTGCATGAATATTTCATCAACCCTTAAGCCCCGGGTTAGTGTGCAGCTGGCAGTACCCCACACCCGGGGGTGAATGGAGAAAAAATCAACTTTTCCAAAAATAATTTTTTACCTTTTTAAATTATAAAACGATAAAAAAATAAGTAAGAAAAACTATATATTGACCCTCTAGAGACTTCCCTGGCTGTGCGGAGGGAGGGAGGAGGTGGGGAGATAAGGAGACAATGTTGGTTTGATAGCTGACGCTCGTGGTGGACGTTCTGGAATGTCACCCTGGCTCGCTGGTCGGACGTTCTGGAACGTCACCCAGGGCCTAAGGGTTATACAATATTTGCTCTGCATACTGAGTGGATTCTTCAATGAGATTGCTGTTCCATTCACTCCTCATTTATATAGCTAACCATGGTTATTCTAAAATGCTTTCCGTACTTTACACAGTTATTGAAAGGGGTTAGATAAGTGTAGTTTTGTTTAGTTTAGACCATGGTTTAAACCATTTAGGGTTTAAATTGGCCAACCTTGGTTTGGGTTAAATTAATTAATAAATTCAATGATCATTAGTCACTTTACACTTAAATAGTACAGGGTATTGTTATCTAATGAATATTTTTTGTATTTCAGGTTGATTGGGAGAAATATTTCAAGTACTTATGCCAAATTGGAGAAATTAACACATTGTAAGTATGAATAATTTTCAGCTACATTACTCAAATCTTAGTTTAGTGTTAATGCAAGGGATGTGTTCCTAAAAGAGATTGCAAATATCTGGGCAATTCTCCCCTTAAGAATTAATGTAAATAAGGGGGAATGCTTTCCCAGCTAGCAACTTTCACCACATATTTTTCGATATACAGGGGGGTCCCTGAGTAATGAACGGGTTCCATTCCTGAGGACATTCTTAAGACGGAACACATGCTGTGTGCATACTGTATGTACAGAACAGTGGTTAAAATCCCACTATATCATAGCCTAACTTCTTATATACATCTAAAATCACTTAATTTAAGACGAAAGAAGAAATAGAATGACAAGTGAAAGTATGAAATAAGTCATCAGGTAAATAAAGTACATACTGTATTGTAAATTTCAAGTTTAACCACATTCGTATCGGTGGGAGTTCATAGGGACCAGGATCGCATGTGCATTGCCCCCTTGCTTAACACGAGTTTGTTCAATGCGGATTCACTCGAACACTTTTTTTTTTATTATTACTATCCCATATTGCTTAACACAGGGCAGTCAACAACGTTAAGAAGAAAACTCAGAAATTCGAGACATGGGTTAGGACAAATGATGAGCTGGACAGAAGGATGCATGCCAGATCCAGGAACAAAGTCAGAGTGTAGAAGGGCTAAAAAGAGTTCCAGGGGCAGATTGTGAGCAAGGTCAAGTCAAACCCAAAGGCATTTTATTGCTACACAAAGTCAAAATTAAGAATGTGAGTAGGCTTATCGGACCTGAGGCTTGAAGATGGAAATTATGCAAATTCTGACCAGGCCAAGGTGGAAGCGTTGAACAGTTTCGTTTTTGTCGGTGATCGCAAGAGAGGATGCAAACAATCTTCCTGTGTTTGAGGACAGGCGGTTCGACACACCACTGACCCATATTGTGTGATCAGAGGAGAGTATAAGAAATAAATGGGCAAAGCTATAGGTGCACCCCAGAGTACTAAGAGAGCTATGCAACAAGCTTGCTGAGCCCCTGAAGATCCTGTTCTGTAAATGCCTGGATGAGCAAAAGGTCCCTAGTGATTTGAAAATGGCTTGTGTGTATCCTGCATTCAAGAAGGGCGATCGTCACTCCACAAATAAATATAGACCAGTGAGCCTAACCAGCATAGTTTGTAAAGTACCTGAAAGCATTATAAGAAATGCCATGATGGAACATTACTACAAAGCAAACTTGCAAAGGATTGCCAACACAGTTTTTATGTCGGGATGATCCTGCTTAACGCAATTACTCAAGGCACTTCACGTTTGGACCCAAATTCTGGAACAGGGCAGCAATATCGACAATATACACTATACCTAGATTTTGCCAAGGCTTTCGACAGTTTACCCCATGAAAGGCTGAAAATGAAACTGGAAGGGTACGGGATTCGGGAAAGTGTCCTAGTTTGGATCGGAGACTTTCTGCATGATTGCAAGCAGTGTGTGATGATTTATAGTACTAAATTGTCATGTATACCTGTGATAAGCGGGATACCACAGGGCTGTGTGTTGGGCCCGTTGTTGTTTGGTTGTTTCATAAATGACATGCCAGAAGCTATACACTATAACATACAAATGTTTGTGGATGATGCCAAGCTATTTATGGAAATTTAGAACCAAACAGACTGTGAAGAGCTGCGAAAGATATCTGTGAGCTTCAAGAGTGGTCAAAGAAATGGCTTCTAAGATTCAATGTCACGAAGTTTATGAGGATGCACCTGGGTCGTACCAACGGCAAGGAGGTGTATCATATATCCCAACAGGATGTAGAAACTGCATTAATAGAGACTGAATGTGAGAAGGACCTGGGTGTGTATGTTGACAATGAATTGAAGTTCTCGGGGTCATTGTGAGAAGGTGAATCAAGTAACTAAACTATTAGGTCTTATAAGAAGGCTGTTCAAATATCAAGACAGTCTGTCCCTCATAACAACTTTAAAAGAGTGAGGTGCTTCCCCACCTGGAGTACTGTCACCCCATCTGGTTCTCGAGATATGCTAGGGACTGTCAGTTGATTAAAAATGTCCAGAGGGCCACCAGACTGGTGTCTGCACTTTGGCACCTCAGCTATCCAGAGAGATTAGAGCACCTGCAACTGCCTAGCTTATACTACAGATGGGCAAGGGGTGACCTAATTAAGGTATATAAACATCTCAATGGACACTATTCAGTCGAGTATCCACACCTGGAGCTGGCAGATCCCCCTCCATCAAGGGGTCATAGCTCAAAGTTAAAGAAGCCACAAGTCCAGAAAACTGTGGGGGTGAACTTTTTCGAAGTGATAATTGTGAACTCTTGGAACAATCTCCCTGAGTGTTGTGATGGCACTGAGTGTGAGCTGTTTCAAGACCAGACTTGACCAACACTGGAGCAGGTTCAGATACATTTAGGAGCCACTGAGAAGATTTTCCCATTATTATTTATTTGTATGTAAATGAGTTGATTTTTCAATGAACACAGTTATTTTGGAAAGAAACAAAATTATTTATGACGAGGATGGCTGAGAGCTGTAATTGAACAGATCATATTACAAAACAAATGAGGAATGGTGAAATAAAGATGTGCAATACAGTACAGTGGTATTAATGGACTTAACTGAAAGAAGAACAACAAATCCATACCAAAACCCATATATCACATGTGGATTGAACAGTGATTGCGTTAAAGATGGACAGTGAGTTTATTGGAATTAAAATTAGATGGGGAGTGTGTGTGATGGCATGGATATAGTCGCATAGATGATGTGAGGGGAAGTCTTTAGACCATCACTAGACTATAATACCTGTATCAGTATTTTATGACATGTGTTTATTTATATATTAAGGAGTTGTCATTATTAATACATTTTTCTGCTTACAGTGGCAAAGAAGAGATCACTTTTTGATGACAGTCATGACCGAGAGATACAAGAGCTAACAGGAATCATTCGGCATGATTTAACGTCGCTCACAAAGCAGCTTGGTGATCTTCGCAATCGTTCTCTCGCTGCTTCATCAACTGGCAATAGTGCACACCTTCAGAAACACTCACGTAATTTAGTAGGATCATTGCAAAGCAAGGTCGCATCTATAACCCGAATGTTCAAGGATGTTCTGGAAGTTCGTACAGAGGTTAGTAATTTTAAGTCGCCAAAAGGGCTCTATCTCTCTAATTGTGTCCAAAATTCATCTTCATAGCTTAACCCAATAAGTGCTGCATTTGGGCAAGCGAGGTTACCCCCTTATAATGCAAAAACAAAAACAATAAATGAAAGTTCAAAAGATTTTTTAGTGGAAGATATAAAAGCCATAAACACCATGTAAAAACTTTGTACATGCTACTCATCATGGGTGGCAAGTTATAAATCTATGAGGTGAGACGGAGAGTTACTGGCAACTGCTGAACGTTGATGGTGGTTGTGATGCAAAAGGTGGTTGTGGTGGTGCAGCGGTGGGTTTTTGTGGTGCAAAGTGAGTGGTGAGCCATGTTGTGGCATTGGAGGTGTGGATGAGGGACCACCAAGGACAGGAGGAAGGGGAAAGATGATGATGTCTAAATAATTCCAAATCATTCAAAGATGATGATAGCAAGTCAATTTGAGTTTTCACCAGCCTTGTGTCTCACTTTCGGGTGCACCAATCATCGACTTTCCATTCTTAGTATAATTTTTGCCACACAAATTTAAATTCATGGTGCCAAATGCTAGTCATCTTAGGCAACAATGGAGCAATTTCGGTAAATCAGCCAAAGTCAATGATAATACTGTACAGTACTGTACTTTAAAGAGTTAATAAGTGTATGAGATATTGGGCGGACAAACAGAAAATGCAAACAAATGAAAAAATAATTGAATACCCCTTTTCACAAGTCATGTCACACTGCATCTGGTGACAGAATGGGGGAGCAATATACAGTAAAATTGCATGAATGAAAAAATTCTTAACCTATAAAAGTATTCACTGTATAGTCAGTAATTAAAAAAATCCACAGTGACAACTATGTTGGGGCTTTCATTATTTTTTAAGTTTCTTGAAATGTATTGATAAGAGATGCTTTAATTTATCAATATGAATTTTTTTGTAAAACTTAGTGAAAACAATAGCTTTTAGATTTCAGTGAACCTTGGAAAATATGTTTCAATCTAATGTAGCAGTTGTATTAAAGTGTTCTAGTTCTGTAAACTTAAGTGATTTGCTTTTCAGAACTTGAAAAAGCAAGCAGAACGGCGGGAACAGTTCACAGGTGGAATAGTGAGTGGTGAACTGCCACCAGGTGCTGTAGCAGGCCACCACCAGGGGTCTGTCCTTCTAGCAGATGAGGCAGCAGCGGCAGCGTACACTTCTTCAGGCGAAACAGTTTCTAGTAATGGTGAGGTAGCCATTAATTTAGGGAATGGTGGTGCATACCAACAACAGCTGCAACTGATGGAAGAACAGGATACATATCTACAGAGTCGTGCAGACACTATGCGCACTATTGAGTCAACCATCGTGGAACTTGGGCAGATGTTTACGCAATTAGCTACTATGGTTAAGGAGCAAGAAGAACTAGTTCATAGGTGAGAGGAAATTTCTTCTACATGGGTTTTATAAAAGTTACATTTTAAACTTAGTGCTAAAAATCCTGCCGACTTTTTTTTCCAGTACAGTACTGATCTTTTTTATTCCATTTTTAGTAGATTTTAACCTTGTTACTGTAAATAATATGGTTTTGCTTTTCATGCCCAACACAGGGTTTTTACATTACAAATAGCTATTTATATGAATAGGAATAATTTGCAGTACAGTAATACATACATGATATCATTAGCCCCTAATTATGAATTGTAGGGAACTAAAAGTTGGTAATAGTAAAACCTAGACATGAGGTGACAATATCCTTGTAATATAGATGTTAAATACAAAGAGCAGATGGCATGATGATTGGGGATATTAGTGAAGAGTGAGAAGACAGAAATGAGTATTTGAGACAAAATGATAAGTAAAAGGATGTATGGACAAACAGAAATGAATTACTGTACTTATGTGAAAAGTAGAGATATCTAAATGGATATGGGAAGATCAAGAAAGTAAGTTAATACTGTATGTGAAGCAAAGTGAATTTGTTTAGTGTAAAAGACAAAGGGATAGATTGAGTGGAGTACAATCATACCTCTAATAGTGCTGCCTCTTAGAATGCTGTTTCGTTACAGCTTTCTTCGTCCAGTACATAGTTTTTTATACATAGCAGAATCATAAAACACTCATAGTAATAATTATACAATACTTCAATTCATTAGGAGCAAATGATTTAACTCCCATGAAACCTATCACCTATGAGATACCTAACAGGTACAGTAAATCCTTTAATGAGGTTGGAGTGAAAGGGGGGTGGGGGGTGATTGACCCAACTGAACTCTTAACTCTGCTAAGCCTCCTCTGACCTGTGTATCCTTATATTCACTGTTACATTGCTTTGTATTACCTGTATCATAATACATATCATGCATGAATCAATCTCCACATATTATAAATTCTGAGAGTTTTCTTGGAACCGTTGTATGATCCTTTGTGTGATTTTCCAAGGCGCCAGTATCCATGTGTGAAGAAGCTTCCTGGCGTATGATAATGATGAATTACACAAATTTCCTCAGATACATTCTATTTTTAAAGTCTTATCACTCATATTAGTATTCTTCCTTATTAGAAACATTTATGTGTGTACAATACAGGTAACTCGCATTTGATTTAAGCGTTATGGAGTAACACGATTGTTCAATTAGTACCAAAAGCTAATTTACGCGCACCTATTTTTGAAATGATGAGCTCAAGACGGTTTAAATTTGCCGAGCCTGGTCGCCTGGCAGTTGAGTAGGGTGTGATGCCTGGTGAGGTGCTTGTAAGTTATTACTATAAAGTCATAGTGAAATCAACATCAACGATTTTAATATTATTATTATTAATAATAATAATTATTATAATTATGTAATAATAAAGATTATTACTACTAATGATGATAATGAAGTATTCTGTACAACAACTGTGACGACGTCCAGCAAGCTTCCTGCGTATTGCTTTCTCAGTTCACACCAGCACTACTTTTTCTCTGTGCGTTCATTTGCATTGTGTGTTTATCACATACCTTTTTAGTGTTTAACGCTGTTTTCCCCATTGAGCATTTCTGGAAAACGTCCGCCTACTTCCTCTGGGGCGCTTAAAGCTAAAAAGGCACGAAAAGCAATTGCAATGGACGTGAAATTAAATGTGATCACCCGCCTTCAGAGAGGAGAGTGTGTGTGTCAGAGGTTGGCCGCGTGATTGTTTTAAGTGAGAGGACTGTTCGTACCCTGTATGGTATATGATGGTTCCCCTAACCTGTACCATTTACATGTATTCTTATGGGAAAATTGTTTAATTTATGCATTTTTTAATTAAGCTGTGATTTTCAATAACGTAATCCCTGCATAAAATGAGAGGTGGGTGTATACACATCAAGGAATGCGTGATTTTTCTGGGATGAAAAAATCCATCTCCATACCTGGAAATCTCTCAATCTGGGAACTGCTCTGTGCCAATTTTCCAGCTAATAGGAAGATTACTGTATTCTTATGTACGATTTCCCTATCTATGATATTCCTTTTTAACGGTGGTCATCATCCGGCCTACGCGGAATGTGGAACTCATCTCTCGTTGCACTTGTCAACTGCGGTCTACCTGCGCCCCGCCACACGGCGCACTACAGTACCAAGCTTTGTTCCATATTGATCACACATGGCTGTGATTGTGTAGCTCAACGAATATCAGTCAGGATCAGTGTTCCTTATCATGTGTTTTTTTTTTTTTTACTTGGTGAGAAGATCGCTGACGTTCATATTGTACTCTGTTTTGGTGACTGTGAAGTGACTTTTGCTATTTTTTTGTGACTGTAAAGTGCTTTGCTGCAATAACATTATCATCATTCACTCTGTTTTTGTGACTGAAGTGAGCAGTGTAACTTTGAAAATGTATGGGAAGGCCAAGGCACCCAGGAGAACCATGTCTCTGGAGGTGTAGTGGCATGAGACTCCACAGAGGCTGTGTGGGAGTCAGAGTCTCTCTCCACTCCACCTTCAAGAGTTCCCTTAACCTAGAAGGGGACATGCAATTACAACCAGGTTTGTTCTTAATGATGTGGTGAGTGTTATTTATTTGTTGTAGATATATTATAAGTGTAGGAATATTTTTTTGTATACATGTGAGTTTTGAATTGGCTGGAAACGTATCCCATTGAACCTCATGTTACAATGATGCTGATTTACGATATTTTGATTTGTGATGGGTTTTTCAGGAACTTAACCCCATCGTAAATAGGAGGGATACCTGTATTGCACCTTAACATGTTGCCTGTTTATCAAGTGGATCCATACTTAAATTACTTCTTAGGATAATATTGGGAAGCTTCTTTTCATTTACAAAAGTAACAGTTAGTGCATTTCATTGTCTCAAATCTTTTATTCAGAAAATAATTTGCATTCGTATCTCTTACTGAAATATTAAAATGATTAATAACTAATAGGAAATTTTCTCTTCACAGAATTGACGCTAATGTAGATGAGACTGGGTTAAACGTTGAAGCTGCTCACTCCGAACTTCTCAAGTACTTTAAGTCTGTCTCGTCTAATCGAATGCTGATGATTAAAGTCTTCGGAATCATGATTGTTTTCTTTGTTATTTTTGTTGTTTTTATGGCATAATGTGATATTATTGTTTATATACTGATTGATAAGATCTTGTACAACAGATTATAAATATTTATATTATTCTTTAATTTTACAGACCTATTCATTTAAACATATTGGATTTACAAAGGGAGAGGATAGTGTTTTTATCTACCATAATTACGTACATACCAGTAATTCATTAGATTTTACATGTCACATTATACAGTAGATTCATCATGAACATACCCCCCCCCCCTATAACACAAAGGAATTACTGTACCTTCTCTCCATTACTGTAACTTTCTTTTTTGTATCTATACTGTGCGCTACTGTATATTCTGTAAAGCTCTGTATGTATCGGTTATCATTTATACAGTATAGTAACTGAAATTCATTGTTACTGCAACCATTCCTTTTTGACCATACTTCCCTAGTCTAATTATTAAATCTTTGATATACAGTACTCTAATATGGTAATTGTTTATTATAGCAATTTTTTTTTCTTAATACTTGTACTGTACACTCTTTGATTTGGTAATTGTTTATTTTAGCAAATTTATTTCCCTAATACTTAGAACAATATTTCTGCTGCCATGGTTGTACAAGGAGTATTTATATATGCATGCTTAATAAATATTATATAAAAAATTGTGTCCAAAGTTGTTACATTATCATTATGAACCAGGTTGTTGAATAAACTCTGTACTGTTGATACCTTGAACAGATTTATATCACTCGACATCAATTTTGCCAGTTACAACTAATTTTGCCCCTTATTATAAAATGTCAGGATCAATGCCTTATTTATAAGATAAACTCTGAGAGTGGGCAGCTGTTGATCATAAGAGGATAAACCACTCAAAAGGTAGCCAGGAAACTAAAAAAATATTAGCTGGTACAGTGCTTGGTTAGTTAAATACTGTATTTTCTTTCATTTAGATGCACCTTTAATTTAGTAGGGAACATCTTGGGAGGGGGGGGACTTCTCAACCATGCAATTGGTTCTTCTTCAGTGTTAAAACTTAGGTTACCTTCCATCAGTCAGTGGTTTGATCCTCAGGGATCCTAGTTCACCCAGCTGTAAATGGGTACCTAAGTTTATAATAAATTGAATGCATTTGAGTGCAGTACCAGTCGTGCTGCCTCCTTGTGTATTGAAGACTTCGTATACTTTTACTGTATCCACACTGTTCCTAATAGACAGTCACACCTATGAGACCCACTTTATAATTCTTTTCCTCCCAGTATTTTTACTGGCAGGGCCCCAGGGGGAATCACAGCCTCTAACAATGCCCCTGGGAGCATCACTGTCCCTAAGAAAAGCCCTTGGGGGCACCACCAACCATGGCAGGGGTCCAGAGGGCACTGATGTACCTGAGTGGGCCCTTGGGAGCGCAACCACCCCTGGCAGTGCCCCTCGAGGCACCACCGCCCCTTGCAGGGTCCCTGGAGGTGCCACTGACCTTGGCAGGCCCTCTGGGAGGTCTCCTGGGGGCACCTCTGCCCCTGGGGGCATTGCTGCCCCTAAGGAGAGCCCCTGGGGGTGTTGCTGCCCCTAAGGAGAACCCCTGGCAGACTTAACTTATTAAATATATGCTGGATAACAAAACACCAAAATTGCAAGTGATTATCATTGAAAGATGTCGTTAAAATCTTCCAAGCATCATTATGACCACTAATTTCCCAGTAATCGAACCATGGACCATATACAGCATTCGGACTTGGCATACTCGGGAGTACTTTTAACAAGATTTTCAACCAAATCTATTTTTGGGCCAAAAACGCCTAGTAATTTTTTGGCCGTGACTCTCCTGTTGCAAAGGTTAAAATTCTGTTAACATTATAAAAACATCTCTGAAACTATATATTGATTAGTGATACAATTATAACCCCAATGCTATATAAATGGACACAAACTAACATAACTGACACTCTTTTGGACATGTAACCCATCGAGGCTAAAATTCATAGAGTATACCTCCAGTCTTAATAAAATAAAATTTGCCAAACTTCAATGCTGCATCTATTTTTTTCCATCTACAATAAAAAAAATATTAATTACATGATACTCAGAAAAAGCCACAATTACTGAATTAAAGCAGCTTTAAACAGGTAAGAAATTGCTGAATACTTACACTCAAGACCGGTCTAGACTGGCGCTCATCCTCCTCCAGCTGGATTCCAATACAGTGCTGTACTGACACATATGGCAGGAAAAATGTAAGGGATTTACTCCTAATTTTTAAAATAAGAACTGCCTGAATTCCAATACTGTACAGTACCGATATTCGAGCTTTAAATTACAGTAAGTCCGCACTTAACGTCGTCCCGTTTAACGTTTTGGTACTACGTCACTAAACTTTAGAGACTAACAATTCGTTTAGCATCCCAGTGATCCGATACTGCGTCGTCAGAGACTACATTTTACGGTGCATTACCCACTCTCGTCTGGCTATGCTCTCTCGGCCTGGTGCACTCTCTGACTCGCCACCCTCCTCCTCTGCTTCACCACACACTTGCTCTATCACCTCCGCCCATTGGTGAGTACCAATACAAACTTAGTAATTGTATATGTATGCATTACTTTCTATAGAAATGACAATGATTTTCTGTATGTAATGTATTTCATGGGGCAAAGGGAGGCTCAGGAATGTAACTCCCATATCTTACCTATTTCTTATGGGGAAAATTGACCCGCTTAACGTTGTTTTGTATAACGTCACGTTTTTAGGAACATAACCCCGACGTTATGCTAGGATTTACTGTACAGCCATAAGGGCCCAATCAATGAACTCAGACTGTCTCAGTGTGTTGCCCCTCAAGGGCCACATGGCATGGAGCAATAAATAATAGACTTGATTATCCCAGTCAGGGTCATAGGGTGAGCAGCACGTTCCATCCTTACTTGACAGCGAGTCACTGTACCTAACCTCCCCACTAACACACAATGTGAAACTGGTAACGAAGCAGATTGATTTGGTCAAGGCTTGACACACGAGATGGAGGAAGTATATTTAACATGAGCCGACGACACTGTTGATGATTGATGAGTAATGCTAATCCTCATGTTTACTAAATGAAGCAAACCATATGTGTGTGTCTCAATTTACCTGTACTGTATATCAGAATATAAGGGGGAAGTCGGATGTGCAACAAAACAGGCAGTGGTCATATAACATTAAGCTACAGTAAGTGTAGCATCACATAGACATAACAACAACAAAGCTCTAAACAGTATTTATTTTGAATACACACAAAAACGGATCCATCAGTGATACAAATATACAAGATGTTCCTTATAATAGGCCATGATAGGAATTTACTGTAAATATTGCGACAATATAGTACTATGTTTCTTAACAGAATATTGGCAGCGGATATTACGTCACTTCCCTGTAAAAATGGATCTTCATCGAATGAAGCATTGATTAATGCTAGGGAGAACGTGCCAAAACCAAATTTTGAAAAAATGAGGTTTAAAATTTGCACATACTGTATTCAAAATGTCATAGAACCTCCAAAAATTCATCAATTCTGTTCAAAGAGGTCTGATTTTAAAGGCAATTTAATGCAGAATATGATCCTTGTAATAAATGAAGTGTGATGTATGATTTTGGTGCACATTGATGTCAAATAATGAAATGCTGTGAAATTAATATTACAGTAATGAAAATAATAAAATTAAATAATAAAGTTTTGTACACAAAACAATAAATTTATATTGTAATGGAGTTAAAAACATAATAATGGTAACACTCACTCCAGATGATGATTATGCTCCGCTAAAGAACTCGATAACAAGGGGGGGCAAGGTAGGTGGCTAGTATGATCGCTCACAATGACATGTATAAACATCTTACTTTAACCCAAACAGCAGTAAATATATATTCACAATGGTTGTTTGACCATTCAAGTAATGTGTGTTGGTGGGGAGGTTCGGCACAGCAACTCACCGTCAAGTAAGGATGGAACAGCCTGACTGTATCACAAATTCCTGACCCCTACTGTACTTATGCTGTATTATCTTTACAATCTGGGGATTACTGACTTTATTCTCAGACTTTGATAAATTTGTTATTGTAAATATTCATTAACATGCTTTTGAGTTTGCCTCCTTTTCCTTGTTTCAATAATAATTTTGCCTTTCTGCCCTACAAATATAAATTATTGATATTTATGCTTCATTAATTTTATTCCCTCCCTGACCTTGTATTCATTTTGCCTTTTATTCCTGTAATTACAGATTCTTCAAAAAGGTTTAGTATTATTATCATAATCTTCTTGACACTATTATATGAGTAGGCTTCTTTACGGTTAAAAGGTATGACAATCTTGACTTTTTTTCTCATTTAAAAAGGCTTTCCCACCATTGCTTGGTTCAATTATCCTCTTACTGGGCTTCGACAAGGTTACATGGTATCGTAACCAGTTTCAGGATTATTTTGCATCTAAAAATTAAAAAAATATAAAAATATATATACAGTAAACCCACGCTTTATGCAGTACCCTGCCGTACACGGAATGCTCACCTTCCGTGGTGTGTGTACCCTTTTACGCGGAGAGCAGCTGGCAGTCCTCTCGCGCCGCGCCATTTTTGGATCCAAACCTCCCGCCATGTTGTGTAAGCAGCGCGAGTAGGTTGCACAGTGTATGTCTTCGTTGCGTTATCGGTGACATCATATGACGTATCTGACTGTGATTGGGCAAAGCATCCTTACCTCCCTCCCCGCTAGCTGTGATTGGTTTTATGTACTATGACGTGCCCCACCGCGGGAGCATTCAAGCCCCCTTGACCTACCCGCGTCAGTTACACCCCTCCCGGCTACAGTGTATATCGGTATCCATTGTTCCATAAGAATGGCTTCCACCGGACCACCACCACAAAGAAGCCTTGCATTACCTGGACCCAGCCGCCCTAAGCCAAAGAAGACACGACATTCCTGAAGCTACGAAATTAAATATAAGATCATACAAGAGTTGGAGAAAGGAACAGGTTGATCTCGCACGCCAGCATGGTGTTAACGAGTCTACGATCAGGACAATTAAGAAGGATGCAGCCAAGATAAAGGAGCACATGAACTTCACAAAGTCTACAGGTGCTTCTATGATCAAGTATTGCCACAACTAGGTGCTTCTCAAGACGGAAAAATTACTTGAGCTACTTGGTTCGTCAGGCGCGACGGAACATGGCGGTGGACACGCGCTCAGTTAAGGAGTACGCACGTGAACTGTATGCTGCAGTGTCACGAAAGATGGGAATTGCAGAGCCCAAACCCTTTAATGCTTCCTCTGGGTGGTTACAGAGGTTTAAGAAGAGGAACAAGATCACCAATATCAACATTGGTGGTGAAGAAGCTAGTGCTGACCGTGTTGCGGCTAGGGAATTTCCTCCGTTTTTACGTGAGATTATGGAGGAAGGACAGTACACCGACGACCAGGTGTTTAACATGGACGAATCTGGTCTTTTTTGGAAAAAGCTACCTTCCAAGACCTTCGTTGTGAAGAATGCCAGCAAGTGTCGGGGCCGGAAGTTGCAGAAGGAGCGCATCACCGTCCTGTTTACCACCAATGCCTCCTGTACCTGTAAGCTCAAGTTATCGGTGATCCACACAGCACACAAGCCACACGCCTACAAGAGCATGGACATGACCAAGCTAAATGTCCACTGGCTGACCGCACGTAAGGCGTGGATGTTCTCAACACTGTCCCTCTCCTGGTTTGATGACTTGTTTCGTTCCTGACGTTAAGAAATTCTGTGAGCAACACAATGTTCCATTCAAGATTTTGTTGCTGCTTGACTACGCACTAGGACACTCGCCCCTACTGTTAGATCGTCACCCCAACGTAAAAGTGGTCTTCCTTCCTCCCAACACTACGTCTATAATACAGCCCATGGACCAAGAATTAATCTGTAATGTAAAAGCTGCATTCTCTGCCAAGAAATTCAAGCTCCTGAACGACTACACCAACACCAAGGAAGAGTTGCGTAACCTGAGTGACACCAACACCGATAGCAAGAGCAAAGACGACGAGGATCAACAATTGGCAGAGCAAGAAGTACTTGAGACAATTTTGGAGAACATTCAACGCCAAGAAAGCTGTGGACTTCTTGGTGGAGGCATGGGATCAGCTGTCTGTAGCAACTGTTCGTCACGCATGGAAACATGTGTTGCAAGGTATTCTGGGTGTTAGGCAGAGTAAATCTGTGACTGGTGAGGTTCAGACTGTTGCAGTAGCAGTGGACCTTGCCAGAGAAGCTGCGTAGTGTTACAGCTGCAGGCTTCTCCGAGACCACCAACGATGACATCCTGGAGGTGATAAGGGATCCTGATGTGACTACCGATGAGATGGTAGATGATGATGACGTCAGTGAAGAGGCAGGTGGTGCGTCATCCCAAGAAGAACGCCAGTTATCCCATAGTAATGTAAGGGGTGCCATCGAGTGTATTGAGAAAGTCAAGCTCCTCCCTGACGCTAACAGGTATGAAATCTTCACTACCCAGCTGTTGCAGACTATGGAGCCCTACATCAAGGTTTATCACGACAACATAAACACCAGCCATCAGCAAAGCATAACCGAGTTCTTTGCCCGCAACCCACCACAGCCAACCCAAGCCAGTGATAGTGACAGAGACAGTGATGATGACTTTGAGGGATTTGTCAGGGAGGCACTAGTAAGTGTGGATGACAGCGATGAAGACTCACCTGAGAGCCAGTAGCCTGCCCTCTGCCTCGGAACCAGCCTCCATTCCCCTACGCCGACCCATCTCTTCTACAAATGTAAGTGTTAACCCCAACCTTTTTTCTAACCTAACCTTCAGTATATTATTCTCTTATTGATTGTTCCCTTCTATAGTATGTGTGTGTGAATACCATCATAAAGTTAAGATGTTATTTTTAATAAAACGTACGTATTGTGTCGGGAAAAAGTGGAGTTTGGGGGGTCGGCCCGGTCTCTATTTCAATTAATCCCATATGTTATGTTGTTCACTTTACGAGTTTCTCACTTTACGCGGGCCGCCGTGGGTTCAATTAACCGCGTAAAGTGAGGGTTCACTGTATACAGTACTCATGATTATCAATTTAGATACCTTAATCCATTAGTATTTTCTGTGGTCAATGTGAAACCCTCCATCTGTGTGTTCAAATCCTTTGTATATTATTAATCTAAAATAGGACAATTCATAACTAAAAGAACTTCACAGTAGAATATATTTACATTTTATTAGAAGAAGTTTCTGTATGTTGAAAACCGAACGTACTTAATTCTTGATAAATGTTATATGTTTGCAAAGTGGTTTCACTAGATTTATCAAAAGAGAGATCACTCCATGGCTGCAGAGGTGAACAAGGAGTGAGGTAATGGACTCTTCCGGAATGTGTGCAGTTGATTTGCCATGCAGAGATCTCCCAGTCATTTGACAGTCCTGCCAGTCACTGTATAAGACTTGTGCTACAAACTGTTCAAATTTCTAAATATTGTAGTTTCATCATTCCCATAAGGTCTTTACTGTAATTTTCTTGTTGGCACATTTATCTATTTGCACAACTTGTTGGGAATGCACAAACACAACTTGAATCACTTAAATCAAATAAGTCACATTTCCCTGACACTAAACAACATCCATTGAGGAGACTATTTTAGTTGGAGAGAGAAAAAATAAAAATAAAATAAGTCCACAAAACTGGTTAGAAATAAAATAAAGAGTGAGAGTTTAGGTTCTAATCATATCTGTTATAATAATAAAAGTGTATTTTATTGTCAGTAACTATTTCTAACGTTTCCCGTTATTATAGTTGATGGCTCGCATAGGGGCTTTAAAATTTGCTGCTGCTTGTTGTTGAATCTGATATGCCATTGGATGAATCTTGAAACCATATAGCCGGGGTACAAATTGGTTAGCAGGCCTCTTTGGCCTATACTCTGGATGTACCATAAATAGCATGTGTGGAAATCCTGTACCAAAATAGGCCCCATCAATATGATGATGGCGAGAAGACTTAGGTGTGTATACGTCGCAGCATTTTGGACAGTAGAGCTTCACCATGGCTTCACCAGGAACATCGCTTAATCCAATGGGAAGCATAGGCTGAGGAGTAGAAAAACCATTTGTTTTAGAGTACACTAAGATTATAACAAATAAAAGTTAATAATCAAAATACGGGAATAAAATATTTGCATTACCAACAACCACATTATGAAACATGAAGGCATTAGAACCAATGCACTCTGTAAAGAATATGGCGTGTCATCATCGACTGCTTCTACAATCAGCTGTTTGATATGTAAACAAAGCTGCCAGGAATACGACATACACACCTCAAAGTAAGTTAAAATACAGTATTCTATTGTTTTTTATTTATTATTGCACAGTATACTGTACAGTACAGTACTGTATTTATTTTATATTTAATGTTTTGTTAATTCTATTACTGGTATACAGTACTTTTGTATGTATACTTTTTCTGTGAGATGAAACCAATTACCCAATATTCAAATGAAAAATAGATTCAGTTAACGAAATTTTTGGTTAACAACCAACTCCGTGGAACCAATTGTGTTTGTTAATCGAGGGACCACTGTACTATAATGTGGGAAGTGAACAGGTGTGGAAGCGACCTTTTCCAAGAGGTTAGGTAATTCAGTTTAAAAGAACCATTAAACCTTTTATAACTGAGTGTTGTAGACATCAGAAATAATATAAAGGCAAGAAGACCAACTCTAAGGCTCATGAAACTTACCTGATTTTCACAGTAAACTCTCGGACAATGACCAAAATCACCAGCCTGATACTTCTCGATCATTTGAGCAATGCCACGATTTGTGAGAATGTAACGGGCATGTATGAGACCATAGAGCATCTCTGCTGCTTGCTCTATAAGGTCACTCTGGTGGGGTATTTCTTCCTCTTCATCTGCAAAGAATTTTTTTTATGTGAAATGCTCAAACATTCCCATGAAAGTAATACTACACAGTAACTTTGAAACATATGTGATGCATATATTGTACAGTGTCATTTTACTACAATTAAAACCGCATTTCTGCTTCTTTCACTAAACCTGAAGAGCTCTGAACAACATACCACCTGCAGAGCATCTGATCTTGTGTCTTCTATTTAGCTTTACTAAATCACAAGATTTTTTGGGTGTTCTCTAAAAATTGCATGCGCATCTAATAAACACAGATTCAAAGACACCTTTGTCAAATAAATTTGAACTCGGTTCTGTACTTTAAAACATTCATTTAAATATTCTACACAAAAATAAAAAAGCTACTACAGTACAGAACTGTATTCTATTTCTACTCATGATCTTTCTGTATTTTCATAAACATACGTATCCTCAAAGATCCAAATTTTTTGCATCATGATAGACTGCATCAGTGCGATTTCATTAGACAGTTTTCCTGTTGCTGCACAGTAATACCTGTACTGTACATAAATGCATTTTATAAGATATTATAAAAATACTGGGTAATATTATGTGGTCATGTCTTCCATGTATAACATGCAAGTCAATGGCTTAGTCAGCCGCGTTATTTGTCCTTTCATTGTTTATCATGGCCATCAGGAATGCATCCTGACAAACACTGAGGACTCCCTATACTGAAGAATTCTGCATGGTGGTCTTGTTTATCATATGGTATATCATTTATCATGTTCCTTTCCTTCATATATAAGCAAACTAAGGATGGTCAACTAGATTTTCCATTTTTAACTATATCTCCCAAACTCTCCAGCCTAGATAAAGAGTATGGTAGCAAAGGAAACACAAATGGACACTGAATATTCTGCTTGTGGTCTCCTTTGCTACCACACTGCATCTATCCAAATGAGTCATATTCAGCCTAAATAAGGCTTACAACTGATTTTACCTAAAAAAAAAAATAATAAAATAAATGAATAAAAGTCCATACCTGGCTCAAGGTCGAGAATCATGTCAAGTGCTTGGCGGTAGTGTGGCACCTGTTCATTCAGACCCGTTAGATTAAACTTATCTTGAATGTAGTCTTCATCCACCTAAAACAAAAAAGTTAAGGAATAAGATCACTATTCCTCATCTTTCAACAATCCCTGATTTTTTTATAAGCTTCAGCATCAGTATTAAGATCTCTTAAATAATAAAGATGACATATAATTGATCAACAGTACCAAAAGTGTGAACTCTACATGATGCTCTTGGGTGGACAATGACGAATCAACCAACCACCCGATTGGTTGATTCTTGCTTGTCCACCCAACCGCCTATATGTTTTCTTCTGGTGTTCCTATTCTGTATCCCCATACTGAAAGGAACTGTATTATAGTGAAGGCAGAAAAGTAACCTTTTCAGGTCAAGCAATAAATAATACAGTAGAAACCCAACTATCACAAGGTTTTTGCCCCTGTAGAATGCTGCATTGTAGGAAATCACATTACTGTACAGTAAGATCTCATATTTTGCACGATTTCATTTCGCGAGCACTACCTAAAGTAACCAAGCCTTATATTTGCCGTAAAATACCATGATTTTCTTGAGGTCCAGCCAGCTGAATGCTGGCCACCGTCTTGAATGACGTCACAGCCAGTTACAGTCATTTCTGCTACAAAACGTGTTTTGTCAATGCGAATTGGTTGTATTGATGAAAAGGGGAACGCTGTTTGTAAAAGGCAAACTTTTGCATAAGAATGTTGGCTATAGCGAGATTCCACCCTCAATGTTTTAATTCCATCTTCAACGTTTTAAGCGTGGTGCGGGGTTGTGCAATATTTACAGTTCACGTTCGACATCACATATTCAATTGATTCATGTCTTTTGTTTGTGAAGTGTTTTTATGAGAGGTACTCTGTAAATTTCATTTTTTTTTTTTTGGCAAATTTAGCTGTTACCCATAAATACTGTATGAAAAGAATAAGTAAAAAGAATGTTTCGCAGTGAGGACTAATAACGGTTTACACCAGCACACACTGTTTACATCACGTGATCAGTTGAATCGCGCGGTTTCTGTAGATTGCTCCGTGATTTTTCGTTGTTTTCTTCAGTTTTGTTGTGCTAGCAATGAATATGGAAAGACAAGGTAAGAAGAATGTTTCCAAGAAGCGCTCTGGTGATTGAATTGCCGGTGGTGAACGTAAAAGAGGTTTACAAGAACACAACTATCGCGTTGTAGCCCGCGCCATCCTAGCAGAACTTAGCACATAGGTCTGGAGCATTGGATCTCAGCTGTTCACTCTCTCTTGTGTCCCGTTTGTAGTTAAACTGTTGCCAAATTACAATGCAGCATTTTTTTTTCTTATTTTTTCCTCACATTTACTGGTACAGTATACACATCACACAGTTCAGCCAGGCAGTCACCCCACCTGACTCAAGTGATGTGTTTGGCTTCTGCGCTGTATGCCGTGATATCACATACTATGGCTGGCCACAGTTGCAGCTCACTGCCTCGATACATATGTTCACATCCCATACATACACACCCACTCATGCTCTTCATTTTTCTTATTTTATAGTTTTATATTATGTTTTCTTAACTTTTAAGCCACATTAGAGTATTGCAATGATTTCTTGACAACTTATATACTTTTGCTATTCTTAAGTTTCTAAAATACAGTAAATAAAGTAAAAATTATCTTACCTCACAGAAGAATTCATTGCCTCTAAGGCCACAGAACCAAGCAATCCATGACACCTCTTCTGAACTGCTCATCTTGCTGCAAGAAAGAAAAACTAATCATACATGCAAAGTAAATTCCATGAACAAGTACATGTACTGTACAACAGCAAAACTCCTAACCAGGGTTGTGGAATTTTTCTACAGATATGACCAGTCTTATTAATAGCATTTCCTGAAAAGCTATTGGTGACTGTCACTATGTACTGTTTGTGATATCTTTCTGATAAGTGCCATTTGTCTTTATGCAACTTATTCATTTCTTAAGCTTTCGCCTCACTAATCCCATTTCTGGAACATGGATGTACCGAAGTTCTTAGCTTGGGTTATGAAAAAAGTTTAATTTAAAAATAAAATGTAATCATTTCATTCTAGCAATATTAATTTTATTTTGTTGGGATAACATTGAAACCAATAATTTACAATAACAAAATTATATACTGTACTTTAAAATGGTCATCCTTACTCCTCACACTTCTGTTAGTAAACCCGTCGTACTACTTATGATATTTCTTACCTCAATACCTAGCTGAAACAGCCTAAATGATGAAACCAGCCTGATATAGGGCAGAAGTAATGGTGCATTATACAGCTCCTCCCCGACTTACGACGGGGTTAGGGACCCAAATCCAGGTCGTAAGTCGAAAATGCTTAAATAATACAATACTTAGAAAATCTAAAAATGGGTCTCTTTTTCTTCTCAGCACCACAAAACTCTCACTTTTAAGCTTGCCAGCCATTTTAAAGTGAATTACAAACCAAAAATTTTGTCTCTGTACTGAAGTTGGGACTCGAAAATACGTAATTTGACAAAATGTTGGTACGACTGAGGCAGGTCGTAAGTGCGGGTGGTCGTAAGTCGAGTAGGTCGTAAGTTGAGTAGGTCATAAGTCAGGGAGGAGCTGTATTGGTATTAGATTCCTTGAACAGGTCCCAAGACATGGGTATGAAGTAATAACAATTCCTACTCAGTAAGTGGTTTGCAGAGCAAAGTTCTTGAGCAACACAATACAGGAATACAGAATTTAGTTTACAATACAGTACAGTAGTACCCCGCTTAACACGGTCAATTGAACCCACAGGGTACCGCGTTAAGTGAACAACAGAACATATGGAATTAATTCCAATAGAGACTGGCCCGACCCCCAAACTCCACTTTTTGACGACACACAACTATGTTGTAGTAAAAATATTATCTTAACTTTATGATGGTATGCACACACAATTAATAATTAAGAGAAATATCAATATTAGGTTTTTTAACACTTACATTAGTAGAAAAGATGGCTGGGCACACGGGGATCGGGGGTTGGTTCCGAGGCAGAGGGCAGATTATTGGCCCTCACCTGTATCACTTGTATCAATTGCATCACTATCCACCACAGAGGCTTGCAGGGCCTCTTTGTCAAACCCCTCAAAGTCCATATAAGTCCATATCCTCACTATAATTATCACTATCACTGACTTGGGCCGGCTGTGGTGGGAGGCGGGTGAAGAACTCGGTAATGTTTTGATGACTGGGCGACCTTGTGCGCATCGTGCCCGCGCCACTTCCCGCGTATATGAGTAGATGAACCGCGTTAAGTGAAAGTTCGGTTCTGGCGAGGCACCACGTATATGAGAAATCGCGTTAAGTGAAACCGCGTTAAGCGGGGTACAACTGTACTGTATTGTATCGTATTTAATTTTTCCAGCATGTGACTGAAAATTCTGAAAATTGGGACACCAATGCCACCGTGAATGCAAGAGGATTTTTTAGTTTCCTGAAAGATTTTCAAACAATTTTGCTCCTTGAAATTTTTCAAAACTGTTTGGCTATAGCTACTGTACTGTAGTACAATGTACAGTACTACAAAGCAAAACCTATGATGCATTATACCGTTGTAAGAAAATAAATGATGTTTCTCAACAGCTTAAATACGAGGAAACGGATTTGAAGACTTTTGGGCTTCTGTTGCATCCAACAGAAGTCATCTAACAGAGGATGAGGAAAAAGACCCTTACCTTCAGTTATATTATAAAATACTGTAGTTGATAGCATATGCATGCTGATTGAGTGTAGATATTCCTCACATTCTAAACTAGAATTCTGTCTTCACCTTTGGCATGAAAAATAAGAGCAGTATACTGTAGTGACATTCCAGACAACTTATTAAACAAATTATAATATTTTTATTTCTCGTTTTTCATTATATTTGCTTGAAAAATAGCATACAGAACCTATTCGTATCCTGAATTAATAAAAAAAATGTCCATGAATTAGTAGTGTATGGTAGAAAACAGTCTCATGTCTGGTTTCAAAGTATTTAAATCGGGCAAACTGATTATAAGAATGCCAAGTAACACTGCTGCAGCAGAATGCTCCATTTCCAGGCTTAGTAAGAGAGGTGATGGACCAGCAAAGAGTGGTAGAGACTTGAACTTGCCATCCCAGACCGTCTCTACTATCCTTAACACAGGTAAATAACAGTCTCAATTTATGCTTTCCAGTAATTATTGAATGCTTATTATGCTTGCTTTATATGCCTGCTTTATTTTCGTGCTCAACAGTATGCAGTACAAATATATATCAAGGGTAGAGGAGAGATTTTTTGAGGGTGGCTGGTCCCTAAACCCCTGAATTTATGTTCTTATGGGATTAATTGCTTCAATAACTGTTAATTCATTAATCAATGACTTTTCCCGGCCCCTATGTGCATCAGTTATCGGGGTACACCTGTACAGCATAGACAGGGAGGAAGATAATTCAAAATGCTATGGAATAATGCCACAAAATCCAAGATTAATTATTAACCCTTAGACTGATTCTTATTTTTTCTAGGAAGTCATATACAATTGAATTCAATTTGGGTCTTAGAAAAATTAAAAAATAAGGGTTTGTAGCCAGGCCAAAAATGAGTCTTTTCGTAACCTACTAAGTAAATTGATGTACAGTACTGTACAAGTACAGTATGGTGATTTGGGATGCCACTGAGGTGATTTTAGCAATCACAAAAATAGTAACAAAAATTACTTTACACACAACAATAATGTCCAATAGAAGCACTTATACACACATAGCAATACTGTACATTAAAAAACACTGGGAAACATCTGTTACACTTTTTTCCCACCTTTCAATCTTTTTCACCATTTTATTCATTCTCATACAGTACATTACTGTACATTATCTGATCTCCTGCATACAAAAACAAGGACCATTTTTCTTCAATGAGAAATAACCATATTTACCACATTTTATGATTCATTAGGATTAGTAAAAACACCCCAAGAACATTAAAGAGTGGAAGACTGTGGTCACCAACCCTCAGATAGGGGGACATTATTACAGTATGATTGATTGACGGTTCAATATGTCGCCAAAATGTGCGGGAAGGAAGCATGGCATCCAGTGGGTAATCGAAATTTCCTATTGGTTGGCAACCACTCCACTGATGTGTCTAAGGACTGGCTCCCCACTGCTCAAACATGGTGGTCCCATTCAAACTATACCTTAGTGCTGCCCAGGCAGCCAAGAGCAGTCTAAGAGTTAAGCTATCCTGGTTAATAACTACTTGACTTGTATCAACTGGAGTCTCTTTTATTTTAGAAATGATGGAAACAAATTGAAGGAGTTGCTGCTTCAGTGACACTGTCACTATTTCTAAAACTTTATAAAAGTGACTGTTATGGGGATTAGCAAGGTGTGAAAATCATGAGCTATCTGTGAAACCCGATGATCATAAAAAATATATAGGTTCAGAGTATAACACTAGAAGTCCATCTGCAAGAAGAATAGGACATGTCACTCTCCCAACCCCCAATGTACTCAGTATGCTGTACTGAACTTTGGTCTTGTCACACAGCACCTATATGCTTTAGTTGCACTGTAGCCCCAACAAGCTGTTTTGGAATCAATAGTATCCCTTCTACTATATCAAAAGTAAGCTAATTTTAAAAACATTACTTAAAAAAACTTTACTTGATTTGAGAGAGGAAATTCTTACAGTTTATAGTATCAAACAATGCCAAATGACCAGATATGGTGGGCAAGCCTTTAAAATGAGGGATATTAAGGGTTAAACATTTTAAATATTAAAGAACATAAACCAATGATCAAATTGCATAGCATAGGTTGAGTAAGGTTTGGGTAGTTATGTTCAATATATATGTGGGTAAGATGTAGGTAAGTCAAGTATTCCTACACCATCCATGAAATCAAAATACTGTACAGTATTTCTCTAAAACTGACACTCACTAATACATGTACACTTTTAATAACCCTCTACTGTATGTTCTGTGAGGACTTCATTATAGATGATTACATAATTATTGATTTCCAGGGTGGTGCAGCTGAAAATTTCCCCAGCATTTGAATCAAAAGTCTTTCAGTTACATATCCAGTGTACAAACATTATGCCATATTATAAATAAGACAATTATCAGTCAAGCCTATTCCTACAGTAATATTAAGTTAATTCTTAATACAAAATCCATCACACTGGTAAAGGTGCATTCAGAGTATCATATCAGTTCAGTACTGTATTATTATAGCAACCTTTACCCTGACTACTTGTACTGATTTTGAAAGAATTTTTGTAAGTAATAATGGTCAACCATTGTTATGTATAGTACAGTATAGTACATATGTGGAATAGCTATTCAGTACAGGCTATCCTACAAGTGATCTTCAAATTTAAGAAGTCTTACTACTGTGCTACCAAGGAATCCTCTGATATGAAGTTAATACTGTATAATTGTTCCAACTTCCAGTGAAGGTCAGGCCAGCACCCTTCCATCTGTTTTTGTTACACAATGGTCTATAGTTTGTGTTATTAACTCCCTTTTTTTTTTCAATAAATTTCCCTAAAAATTGCCAGAGTTGTTATTCATAAAATGAAACACTCAGCAGGCAGTTTTACTGTACAGCATTTCGTAAGGTAATGATACATATAGGTATTTATACTATTCTATTTATTTTTTAATGTGTTAAGAAGTAAATTTCTGAAGTTAGGTACAGTACTAATTTAAATTTGTTCGGTAGGTTAATTGTTGTTCATGAACCGTTTTCATGTTTTAGGGTACTATAATACCGTTCAGTAATCTCTCCATTACCTAGCCGGAATCCCTCAAACTCGGAACCCTCCGATGGCCGGAATTTTAATTTTCTCGGGAACGACTATCCGAGGAGCACATTTTCAGGAAAATTCCGAGAATTTTTATGGACACCAGGAAAATTCCGGGGATGGGGAGTTTTTTCTGGGACTGAGAGATAAAAATCAGACGCATTTTCTGGAAATCAGAGAAAAATTTTACGTTACCCGGAAAAATTCCTTGGATGAGGGATATTTTTCCGAGTTCGAGAGATGATGGAATGAGCAATTTCTGGAACTTCCAAAAAAAATAAAATTCTGTTACCCGGAAAATTTCCGGGACGAGGGATTTTTCCAGGTTCAAGAGATCTGTAATGGACAATTTCTGGAACTTTCGATAACATTTTTCCGTAACCCAGAAAAATCCGGGGATAAGGGATTTTTTTCAGGCTTTGAGAGAGTCGTCTCGTTATCAAGAAATCTTTCATTCCCGGAAGTGCTCTGCACCAATTGTTCCGGCAAACGGAGATATCACTGTATACAGAGGCTTTCTTGTTGTTTGGGAACCGATCTCCATTTTTTCCATTTTGTTATTTGATATCCAAAAATTTTATATCTGAAGGGTTTGCAAGGAACCTAACTGTTTCAGATAATGGATATATACAGTATACCGTACTTGTACAATATTACAAAAAAACATTCTTCATCTACCTTTATCATTCTCATGAGTAAGAAAATAAATATTTTCTATGGAGAATTGCCCAAAGTTGTTAGTTCCGGCATACATCAGTCGTAAAGTATAACTGAAATCCATTCTTACTAGGCCAAAGTGGGTCAGACATGGTCCCACTGACCTATTAATAACAATATGGATATAGCACACTCAAAGTACTATTCCCCACGGCATTTTGCTCACACAAATGCAAAGATAAATATGGTAACCATTCTGTAGCTGGGTTAACTAGGGCACCAAATAGCCAGCCATTAAACACAAACTGGCTACCTGCAAATTACTGAACATACCAGTAAATAGTACATTTAGAATAGGGGTAGATGTACTGCACGCCTCACACCATTGTGGCTTGGGTTCACTACAAGTGTGGGTTGGATGTGGAATGGGTGTTGGGTAATAATTTAGATGTCCAACTCAAAAGAAGGATCCACTTTAGGGAATTTTTCTATTAATGAAAATTTGGTTCTTACCCTTTGAATAAAAAAAAAATAGATGGAAGAATCACAATTTTTCTACTTTTGTTTCTCCAATGTTTTCGTCCTGAATACGGTTCTCCATCAATGTTGTGAGCAATGTGTGAAGCCACATGCCAAGAGACAAACAGTTTATATCTGTGTATATATAAACATGAAAAACCAGCAGCAGTTTATACTGATATAACAATAATATTATTAACAAAGTAGAATTCCAGTTATCCGGCACCTCTCTATCAGATTTTCTGTTTAGTTGAACCTCACTCTTAGGATCCCCCAATAAATCCTACAATGCAGTGCTACAGGCTGACCAAGCAAATTCGTCCCAGAAAAGGGGACTCCATTAACACTTATTCTACTCTATATAAATGATGTGGCTTAGAAATAAAGAAAATATAAAATAAAAGAAGAAATTGTGTTTTTAAATTAAATTTCTATGAAAAATCGGACGGGTATATCGTCAATGATTACTACAGTACTAATATTGTAGACTGAAATTAACAATAAAATAATATGTAGAATGTTCTGTGGCCAAAAGTTCTAAAGTTCTATTTTAGATCTCGACCAAATAACCAGTGGTTATTCGGCCGGATACCAGTCAATAACCCCTGCCTTTAAAGTTTTACCAAGTTTTGTCCAGCATGACCTTCATTAACATTGCAGGTTTTCTTCAAATACTCAAATAACCTCCAGTACAAGTGCTAGCACTGGGCCTGTGTATGGACCTCTATGGACACTGAAGTAATTATGATAACTATTGACGACTACAACGCCGCTGATTTTTTATAGAAAACGAAATTAAAAATGCTGCGATTTAACTGTGTTTTATAGTGGACACTGTCATAGTTATGGCATGTGTTAAAAGGTGCTTATTTAAAAGTTCAACTTAACTTAACCTAACCTAACAAAAATAATAATATCAATAATAATAATTCATACAGGGGTATCAGAACTCGCTGATAAAAATATAGTAAGAATACAAACATCAAAACAAATAACACATTGGTGGTGTAGTTGTCACTACAGTATTAGTCCAATACAGTATACATGTACAGTTGCCCAAATGTATAGTGTTCCACCCCCTCAGTGGCCTTCCTGAGCATGTGGCGACGTCGGAATCGCTCTATGAATGAATCGATAACGTGAGGAGAGCAGTTGCTCAAGTTACTGATTCATTACCGATTCATTCATAAAGTGATCGTAGTGAATATTTTGCCATGACTGGCTATATTCCTGCTAATGCTATTTTGCCATGATGGTGCTTTGATTGGCTAAATACGGTCTCTTTAATATGACCGGGGGTCTGCCCCCCAGCTTGGAAGTTAGGCATGTTATTTAGTTGGTTAGATCAGGTTCTATTAGTTTCTAGTAAATGTCATCTCTTTTATAATAAGTTTTCATGCACAACAGAAATATGGTTAGGTACGTTTACAGCAACACAACAATCGACTCAGGGAGAAACAAATGCCAAATGCTGCCAGTCATGGTCAAATATAGTTCTCGCGTTGTTCGCCGGTAATGGACGATTAGCCAATCAGAGCACACTCATGGAAAAACAGCGTAAGTAGGAACTTACTGGTCACGGCAAAATATCCACTGCCTACAGTGATTCCAACATCATCACATGTTCAGAAAGGCCACTGAGGGGTAGAACACTATACCTGTGGGCAACTTTACATTCATTTTCCTTCCAATATCTGGAGAAATACATGGTTGCCTCAAATAATTCTTGCATCTATATTCTTCACTACATGGCTTTTAAAGCCTCAATAGTTATCAAATAACAAGTTTATCTACTTTAAAGCACATGTACACATACCAATGCTTGACCCTCTTCATAAACAAACTTTCCTTCCAATCAGCATTAATAAGAGTTCAGCTGGGTATATCACTACTAGATAAAGGGCTGTTCCAATTTTGCTAATTCAGTCAATTCTTTTGCTAATAAATCATGATATTAACTGCAATATCGGAATGTAACTTCTAGCTTATAAGTTTTTGATGCAACTGCAAGACTTAAAACAGTGACATAACTCATCCATTTAATATATCATTATAATACTTATCTGTTTCCTACACATACTAGAGCAAAATATATTCCCCATTGGTAAAGCAATAAATTTGGTAATACTGTATAGGTATATATCTGTCTAGTAATTCCATGGCCACATTGACCTATGTATTATCAAATTCTAATTGAATATTAATATGTGTAGGATATATTAGGCTCTTCTTTTACATTATGGGGTTTAAAACAATTTACACTGAACTATCAGAGAATCTTATACCCGTTTGATGATATTGTTCTGTCCATATTAGTTAGGACAGGTTGGTTATTCCTGGCCTCGACTCGTCACTTTATCACTGGGCCTATTGTCATCACAGCAATTTTCTTTGGTTGTTTGTTGATATAAAATACTGTAGAATCCTTCAGTTATCGCACAAAGTTCACAGTTCACAGGAGTAGTCAACAAAGTACTATAGCAAGCATTACTAGGGCTTCAAGCCAAGGCCATGGACGTTCAGTCTCAGGTCATCACCTGACATAAGCATATTTACACCAGCATTAACTCCGTATTCTGACTATATATTCACTACTCCAAGGTTTGAGACCAATCAATCACGTTACAGATTCACAAAAAGAGGCTTGAAACTTGACTTGAATTGATAATATTGGTTGGAAAAGGTAAAAATACTGACCGCTTCCTCTGAATGTTTGCCACGCTCTGGGGTGAGGATGGAAGGCGCCTCTGCTGCCATCTGTTGGTTGCCGCGGCCACCACACATTAAGGACTAGGGGGTCTCGCTCTTCTGCTCATTTCTCATTTTAAGCTGCACCATTTATAACAGTTTAAAATGGGACAAAGACATCCCTTACTTGCCGAATATATATATATTTATATTAAAAAGACCCGATCGCCCCATTACATTTAAGACGACTGTAAACTAAGCTGGTAAGAAGAAAGGGGAATGAAATATATTAAACGTAATCAGTATATGGTTATCTTGGTGTTATCCAAAAGTAAAACCATAGAGGATTAACCAAGACAGTAAATAATAAAATTTATAATTCAAACTTGCCGTAAGGATCTGTAAGGTTAGGTTACATGATACACGAGAGTCTTGGGAATTAGCTGCCGTAACTGTATCACCTTCAAATCAAATCATTTGCTTCTATAATCCTATCTGATAAACAACGCTGAATTTCAAAGTCAAGTCATGAACTAACTATGACAAAGAATTTTTGCGACACACCTGTACAAAAATAAAATATATCAGAGCAATAGCTTTCTACCAATAGCTTGTTGAAGGTTTGAAAATCATATCGGCAAATTTGCGCATAAACAAAAAGAACGATAATATTACAAGTTCTTAGTTAACGAGGGATTTCTTCAAATGTCAATAAGTGTGTTTTCGTTCTCATAAAAGTGACCTATACCATTATTACCAGTGGTAATTTACCACATTGTATTGTGGGGTATGGGATGTCTGGGTTCACACTCAGGATGAGATGGAGAAAGGAAACTCACAATGTGCTCTCTGTATACATGTTGTATTGGATGTACAATGCAGCTTGGTGCTGGGAAGGCAGCATGGTTACAAGCATGATGTAGAGAGAGCTGGTTGGTGAGGATGCTCAGAGAAGGACAGCTTGTGGGTCGCCATGCTCATAAGAACATAAGAACATAAGAATGGAGGAAACTGCAGCGAGGACCGCCAGGCAGGCGGAGGAGGAGGAGGAGGTGTTGCTGGCTGGTTGGTGTAGGTAAAAAGAGACAGGTCACCACGAGGTCGGGTCTTTTATAGCGGAGGTAGGCGTGGGTAGATAGTTGACCCCCGCTCCGTGGCCGGCGCTGGTTGACCTAGACCACGAGGCACACACTGTGGAATTCGCGAGGTCGGCTACTCAGCGACAAACAGCGTTTGTAGGGGAGAAATCCACTACAGTATTACCTAAATATTGGTACCTCCGTTATTATACTGTATACGTACTTGTTTGGGGAGATTACCCGCTCTTGCCTTTATATTGTAGTGGATTCCTCCCCTACAAACGCTGTTTGTCGCTGCCTAGTCGACCCCACGATTTCACCAGCCTGCCCTCGTGGTCTAGGTCAGCAACCAGCACCGCCTTACGCGACTGAGGTCAACTATTAAGCCACGCCTACCCCTGCTATATAAGACTTCACCTCGTGGTAACCTACCTCTTTACTACCCACAGCCACCAGCAAGCAACACCTCCTCCTCCGCTCCTGCTGGTCCTGCTGGTCCTCCTCTGAGCACCCTCACCAACCAGTTCTCCCTACTCAACGCTTGTAACCATGCTGCCTTCCCAGCACCAAGCTGCATTGTACTTCCAATACAATATGTATACAGAGAGCACATTGTGAGTTTCCTTTCTCCATCCCATCCTGAGTGTAAACCAATATCTCGTAACCCACAAATGGTGACCCCGGAGTGACCACTCACACAGGATGGAGGAGAAATATCACGTACCCCACAATATCAACCCTTACAACCAACATCTCTTTAATTAAAAATAGGGTATTCACACCCCGTTACCAAAGTTATTCTTGAGAGAAAAGGTAAGGACATGGAAATTCAGAAAATACAATAATATATATGAAAGCAGAAATGAAATAAAAAAGTATATTGACTTAAAAAATATAAGCAAAGAAATATAAGATAGATACTTATATAAGAATAGAAGACTATAAGTATATAAGTAGAGGAAAATAGAATGAATATGAAGTAAGAAAAACGGACTCTTGCAACAGCACATGACAGGTTTGGTAGGAATGGGATGAAACCTATATGAAGTGTTAATAAATCCCCTTGATTTCTACCTGTGGATCACATAAAAGGCAAGGTGAATGTTACAGAGGTTCCAAACCGCCGTGTGGAGGACAGTGAGAAACATTCCAACATTCGTCTTCGAAGTTCGACCGTGTGCGACGGGTTGAAGCCTGCAGTGAGCAAGAGGTGGGGAACTTGGAACATTTGCTCCAAATATAAAGTGACCATATTTCTTGGGGTAAAAACGGGACATACCAAAAATTACGAAAGAAAATTCTACAACCCATACACCAACACCAATTATACAATTATACTTGACCCAAAACCAAAGCAACTGTACATAACAATGGTATTTGCTTACTTACGTTCTAATGTTCTTACTTTTCACTGAATAAGATTTGTTTTAACATCCCTGGAGTTGATCTTTTTACTTTTATCTTTTACTTATCATCTTCGTGGTGTAGATTAATATAATCTGTTTCTTTTATATTTTTAATTTCCTTTTACTCTTATTTTTCGCCACGTTGTGGGTCGATGACCTGTGCCCGGGTGGGGTATTCCCCGTAAAAAACAAAACAAAAAAGAGTAGAATGCCAGACAGGTTTGCTTGAAGTTAATTTTTGTGACTAGTAAGGCTTTGAGGGTTGGGACTTTTAGTTGTGATTTTTCAAATGTCCACAGTTTGTTCATTTGAAAGAAAACATGTTTGTTAATTGAATTTGTTCCAGGAAGAGGCATAATGAACTGAACCAATTTTAATATGTGCTGGTGCGTAAATATATCTGTCATTAAAATGAATGAACATTTCTCCCCAGCGCTGGTCTGTAGGTAACTTAGCTGCAGTCCACGCTGACACTTTTACCTCAGAAATATAACTTGTATCACAGCAAAACTCGTCAAATAACTCGGTATCAAACCTTGAATCATAGAATTTATATTCTGCAGCAAAATTCATTGTTTTCTCAACGTCTTGCCATTTTGGTATTTGCTTTAATGAGGCCCACTGTACAATATAGTCTCGATTTATGCGGATTTGGTTTACGCGGCTCCTTGCCAGAATGACGATTTTAAGTTACGGGGTTCATTCCATCATTTACACGGGAAGCGGCGCGGGGTGGGTGCTCATTAGGTCACTCTTACGTTATCGCTGACGTCATATGACGTATCGGACTGTGATTGGGCCAAGCATCCTTATCTCCCTCCGCCGCTAGCTATACTATTCTCTCTTGTGCCCGCTATTCCCCTCCCCTCACAATGGCTTCCGCTGGACCCCCACCACCCCCGAGAAATCTTGAACCACCTGGACCAAGCCATGGTTATGTGAAGGAAGTCATCGAGTTGGGAGAGAAAATCAAGCTCATCCTTGACAAAGACACAGTCAAGCATCGGTATGAAGTGTCTAATAACCTTCTGTCGAAAATTGTGGAGCCGTATGTCCAGATGTATCACGACAACATCAATGCTAGTCTCGCCCGCAACCCACCACAACCACAGCCAGCCCAAGTCAGTGATAGTGACAGTGAGGATATGGACTTTGAGGGGTTTGTCAGGGAGGCCCTGTAAACCTCTGTGAATAGTGATAGTGATTCGCCAGAAGGCCACTAATCTGCCCTCTGCCTCGGAACCAGCCGCCATCCACGTGTGCCGACCCATCTCTTCTACTAACGTAAGTGTTAAACACCTTTATATTTGTAGTTTTTTATTTAGATATTATGTGTGTGTGTCAATACCATCATAAAATTATGATGGTATTTTTACTACAAGGTACGTATTGTGTCAGAAAAAGTGGAGTTTGGGAGTCAGCCCAGTCTCTATTTCAATTAATCCCATATGTTCTGTTATATCGTTTATGCGTTTCTCGTTTTGCGCGGACCTCCACGGGTTCAATTGACCGCATAAATGCAGACTATACTGTACATGTGCAAAGTCTTGCAAGTGACCTGACCACTGGCCAAAATACTGAACATAAGACCATAAGAAAATAAGGAGTCTGCAATAGGCCGGTTGGCCTGTGCATGGCAGCTCCTGTCGAGAATTACTACCAATCTCTATCATCCATGAATCTACCTAGCCTCCTTTTGAAACTTTCCAGCGTGCACTTACTACAAAGTTGCTGAGCTTGTGGGGTTTTTGAGATGTTTGGTTCACACTCAGGATGGGATGGAGAAAGGAAACTCACAATGTGCTCTCTATATACATGTTGTATTGGATGTACAATGCAGCTTGGTGCTGGGAAGGCAGCATGGTTACAAGCGTGATGTAGAGAGAGCTGGTTGGTGAGGATGCTCAGAGGAGGACCAGCTTGTGGGTCGCCATGCTCGCCGGCGGGAGCGAGGACCGCCGGGCAGGCGGAGGAGGAGGAGGTGTTGCTGGCTGGTTGGTGTAGGTAGAAAGAGAGCGATCACCACGAGGTCAGGTCTTAAATAGCGGGGGTTGGCGTGGCTTAGTAGTTGACCCCCGCTCCGTGGGCGGCGCTGGTTGACCTAGACCACGAGGCATACACTGGGGAATTCGTGGGGTCGGCTACGCAGTGACAAACAGCGTTTGTAGGGGAGAAATCCACTACAATACTCCCCCTTTCCTCCAGGCGGTGTAGGAGACTTGTTGTCTGCAGGGTTGCATAGCACATGTGAGGCAGAACGGGCGGTGCATGCCTCATGTGAGACAACGGCGAGCGTGGATGAGCCGGTCGCTGGAGACAACTGTCAAGATACACAATATCTGTGGGAGTAGAGAGGGAGAAAAAGGGTGTGTGGAGGCGATGAATGTTGTGCTTCCCTCATGGCAAGTACAGAGTCGTCAGATGCGCCTGCTGGGGTGTGTGGGCCTGGGTCAGGAGCAGGGGCTGCGTCAGCAGAAGCGGATGAGGGCTCGTGACAGCAGCTGGGTCCACAACAGCAGCAGGGTGCAGGACATTAGCAGGGAGTACCTGAGGGAGAAAAAAGGGGTGTGTGGGTCCGCACTCAGGAACAGGGGCTGCGTCAGGAGAAGCGGCAGGGGGTACTGCTGGGCCGGGGGCGGCGTCTGAGGCAGGACAGGTGTTTTGGTCCGTGTCAGGAGCAGGGGCCGCATCAGGGGCGGCAGGGGTTACTGCTGGGCCGGGGGCGGCGTCTGAGGCAGGACAGGTGTGCTCGGGCAGGAAGAGGAGCTGGTGTCTGCTTAGAGAAGCAGTGCTGCTCTAGGGTGTCTAACCTGCGGTGTAGAGACAGTAGTTGTAGAGCCGATGAAAGCTGCTTCTGTGTGGATAAGCCAGTCTTCCATGTTGCTTGAAGACTGGGAGCGTGATCAGTTTCTCCTCCATCCTGTGTGAGTGCGAATCTTCGGGAGTCACCATTTGTGGGGTTTTTGGGATGTTTGGTTCGCACTCAGGATGGGTTGGAGAAAGGAAACTCACAATGTGCTCTCTATATACATGTTGTATTGGATGTACAATGCAGCTTGGTGCTGGGAAGGCAGCATGGTTACAAGCGTGATGTAGAGAGAGCTGGTTGGTGAGGATGCTCAGAGGAGGGCCAGCTTGTGGGTCGCCATGCTCGCCGGCGGGAGCGAGGACCGCCGGGCAGGCGGAGGAGGAGGTGGTGTTGCTGGCTGGTTGGTGTAGGTAGAAAGAGAGCGATCACCACGAGGTCAGGTCTTAAATAGCGGGGGTTGGTGTGGCTTAGTAGTTGACCCCCGCTCCGTGGGCGGCGCTGGTTGACCTAGACCACGAGGCATACACTGGGGAATTCGTGGGGTCGGCTACGCAGCGACAAACAGCGTTTGTAGGGGAGAAATCCACTACAAGCTTGTTCCACTCGTCCACCATCCTATTTGTGAACCAGTTCCTTCCTATCTCCCTCCTAAACCTAAACTTATCCAACTTAAATCCGTTGCTCCGAGTCCTATCCTGCTCGGATATTATAAGAACTTTATCTATATCCCATTTATTGATTCCTTTCACCCACTTAAATATTTCTATCATATCTCCCCGCACTCTTCATCTTTCTAGGGAATGCAAGTTTAGTTTCTTTAACCTATCTTGATATGGAAGGCTTTTAAGTCCCAGAATAATTTTTTTCATTTTTCGCTGCACCGACTCCAGTGAATTGATATCCATTCTATAAAAAGGGCACCAGAACTGAACCGCATAATCGAGGTGCGGCTTGACTAGCACAGGATATACAGTAGTTGCAATAAGACCTCTGCACTCTTATTACTTACACTTCTAGATATAAAACCTAATACTTTGTTTGCCTTATTTCGAACATTAACGCACTGTTTTCTAGGCCATAGGTCTGGGCTTACAAGTACCCCTAAGTCTCTTTCACTGAGCAGCTCCATCGTTGTGGTGAATGCTGGCAACTGGGGAGATGACCGGCCTTCCAACCACCTTGTGGCCACCACAGATGCATCCACACTAAATATTTTTACTATTTTTTTAAAAGTTTTGATTAAAAATTGCAATTCTGCAGGGGCGATTTTTTTCCGAAATTCTGTAACCCAGGGGATGCCTGTACAGTATTTCTAAATCCTAATATACGATGAACAACAATGTGACAACGCAGGTCTTGCTGTTAGCCCTTAACCCCTTGTGTACAGGGTCTTCTTTGAGCTGAAAAAAATAGCCAGGTGTTAACCAAATAAAATATTAAAAGAATATTTAAAGTGGCATCCCCCATAGTGAGGGGGTTGGTGGAGATAGTTTACTAACCCCTTGTGACCGGGATCCCCTCCAAGCTGAAGGGGTTAAATTTGTAAGCTATCTTGAAAAGTTACTAATTCAAATAAACAAATTAAGATAAGATTTTTGCCAAAATGGTGAATGTACAGTGTAAGGAACATTTCAAGCAAAATTGAGGGTTTAATGCAAATGGAATAAAGTTACATTACGATTTAGTTGGTGGTTACTGACCATTTGGAAGATTTTAAAAATGGCTTTAAAGTTGAAATTTCAATTGGTGCTAATTTTATTTCTGATTATCCATTAATGAAAAGTAACATCTTTATACCTGGGGGTTGGTGACCACAGTCCTCTGCTCTATATGTTTTCAAGCTGTTTTTACTAGACCTCCAAGATTTGGCATCTCTTTGGTAACCCAGTTTTTAATTCATGCATCCGAATGGTCTCTGCCTTCCCATGGCTTTCCACCTCTCAACACTGGTTTGGAAACAGAGTAGTGGATGAATGGAACAAGTTACCAAATATCATCATTAACTCGAATGCGCTGAATAGCTTCAAACATAGGTTGGATGCTTATATGAACAATAGGGGTTGGGTGTCAACGGGACTGCCCAGTATGGGCCAATTGGCCCGCTGCAGTTTCCTCCATTCTTATGTTCTTATGTTATCCCTATTCCCTAATTAAATTACCAAAGTGTGCTACTGTATCTCATTTCCTTCAATAAATTTCAAGTATTTCTGTCAGTAACTTATTTTCAACATTCTTCAATACAGTAACATCACATTTCAAAGGAAACTCTGAAGATTGTTTTTGTCAACTTTCATGCTTGCATATTTTGAGCAATTCACCTCAAAATGGCTCTTAGACACCTTACTAAATATGGCAGACCAGTGTAAGATAAGTGACAAAAATTACAGGAAAGGTAGAAGACAGGCAGAAATATCCACATTTTCTGCTCTGGTTATGCAGTACTGTATATATTGCAATGTAAGTTTTCAACAATGATTTACTTCTTCAATATATAGTAATGAACTAATAAATGGAATTATGGATTGGGTCATATTCATAGGGATTATGAAGTGAAATCCAGTGCAGGTTTTTGTATATTTATTCATGCAAAATTCTAAATATTTTTATACATTTAAAAAGTAGTTCCAGCATAATTTATTTTTGCCATTTGATTAGGTAGTAGTTTTTCTTACCTGTAAAAGACAAGCATTATCAGTTTATAATTTACAGATAGAAAGGTAATTGAAATTCACTGTGACTTTAAAAAAATTCTAAATAAGTAACATGCATCAAGGTGTCTTTTACCACCAAAACTGTATACTGATCACTGTACGGTACAATAATCTTATTAATACACAACCAATTAATTATCTTGCAATTTTCACGAGTAGTCCTATGATGAATCATTCAAAAATATTTACTCAACTAAGATCTTAATATGCTTGTTCCTATTGTACTGCCTCACTGATATAAACTTTCTCCTGTTCAAAAAAAAAAAAAAAAAAATTAAACCTCTTAAATACTGCTCACCTCCACTCACTTTCCCTCAACATATAAGTCTTCCTCAGTGCCTCAATATTCTTACTAATATTTTTAATAATCTCTTACATCTCATTTCTCCAAGTACATGTACAGTATATCGACTTTCTTAAGTAAATGACACCTTGAAGAATAAGTCTCGAGCAATTTCATCATATTGTAATTAATTCTAGTTATATACAGTACAACTAATTACTAATCACAAATAACTTATCAATGAATAATACTTACCAACTCTTAATAAAGAAAGTCCATTAGGGAGTATATGTGCTCCTGGAACAAGTATAAGATCTGGATTGCTGACACGTGAAAGATTTATATAAAATCCTCCTGCTTCAATGATGCGTCTGGCATCTCCTGTTGGAAACAATGAAATACCTGTAAGCTGTTATTGTTGCAAAAAAGTTTAAGCTTATTTATCTGAGTCACCCTGCAGCAAGGCAGGTAAAACCTTATAAAAAAGAAAAACTTGATTAGAATTGGAAACTCCTGAACACATTGTGGTCAACTCATCCAGATCCATTTAACTATACATCTAAAACTGACTTGTTATGCTTTTAGAAATACTGTAATGAGTCCAGCTGTGTGCTGGAAAGATTAACTACTGTACAGTATATTTATACTCTCTAGACTTACACCTTACAAATTTTTTGACCAAAAGATACTTTTTTCTTAGAATTGAAATTTAATGGGTATAACTAATTAAGTACTTTCAGAATAACACACAAACCCTAAATCACGCCTTGGAAACCCATAGTTGATGAGTAATTAGCATTGAAAAATGTCAGTAAATCATTCAAGGGTCAATTTGCCACTAATTACTCTACAATCGAACCGTGGACCACATATTCATAATCAGCAAGCTCAGGAGTACCCATACTGTGATTTTCAGCAAAATCTAATTTTTGGCCCAAAACCACAAAAATGTAAGTCTTACACCTAACAAAATTTTTGATCAAAATATACTTTTTCCTCACAATTGAAATTTAAGGGGTTTAACTAATTAAGCACTTGCAGAATAACACACAAACCCTAAATCACACCTTGGAAACCCATAGTTGATGAGTAATTAGCATTGAAAATTGTCAGTAAAATCTTTCAAGGGTCAATTTGGCCATTAATTACTCTGCAATCGATTCCTGGACCTCATATTCATAATCAACAAGCTCAGGAGTACCTATACTGTGATTTTCAGCAAATCTAATTTTTGGCCCAAAACCACCAAAAAAATTTTCACTACAAATAGACAAAATTATTTGTGTTCCAAGTATCATATCTCCGATATTTTCTCACAAACCTACCAAGGTATTATACAGTATATATAGTTATAGAAGCAGATTTCATTATCTTTTCAATGATGGCTTTGGAATTTTGATAGGACTAATTGTGGGGAAGGTGAGAGACAAATGTGACCTACCAGCACGGCTGACGGGAGGAAACTGATGAACAGCGGAATTCTACCCACACTTTGATTTTTTCTGGAAGTTTCCTTCACAAGATCATGCTGTCATCTACGATGCATGAAAATTTGAGGCAATGATCTTGAATTTATTTTTTCACAATTTAAAAAAAAGTTTAATGATGCAATTTGCATCACCGATGCAATAGTGCTACCCAATAGTTTGATGCGATTGCATCATGATGCGTGAGAGGGTTAATTTAAAAAAATGGCACAGCTGGTTCATTCTAATAATATTCTTCAAGTTCGCAATATTACTGTTTAAACCACATGTTGAGGTATATATTTTACAGTACTGTACTGTACTGTATAATAAAGACATAACATACTTTCATCTTTGAAGCATTGAGCCTTCAATGCCAAATCCAAGACCGAAGTTCCTGGTGTCAGGATGAGTTCAACAGAGGGGTAAGAATTGAACACCACTTGTATTTCATCTCTTGTCATTTCAGCCAGTGCTTCAGATTGGTTACCATACAAAACTTCAGATGTACGTCTCGCAGATTCTAAACCACGACCTAAGAAAACAAGAGGTATCATTTTACCTTCTTGCATCTTAATTAATCAAACAACATAAGGTAAAGTACATGTACTGTACTTAAAAAATAATGAACACATATCAATAGAGATCAACATGCAAATATACACACCTCTTTACATAATTGCATATACACACAAACACAAACAAAAATAGGAGACAGAAAATGTTGAAAAGTGTAGGATTGACTTACATTTTATTGTATGACAAAGAGAAAGAAGTGAGATCTGAAATATTAAACAACCTCCAATACAGCTTGCCTGTTGCTACAGGTTTAAAGGCAAGCACTGTATAGTATTTAGGGGAACAAAGCCAAATTAAATTTCTTACAGAGACAAGCAGTTTCACGATTAACAGTAAATCTAATTATGAATACAGTACTAACTCTGAATGAAAAAATACTTACGTCCATGTACTAGAAGAGTAACTTTTTCAGCTAATTTCTTTTGTGCGTACCTACTTTCTGGTTTGCCCTGAAAGTAAAATATCTTATGTGATTAATTTTCCTTTTCTGTACTATACTGTAGATTTTACATAAAGAGTGGAAGATTGATCCTGAAATTCCTTTTAATGATCAAACCTGTATCAGATGACTCAAGCATTGCACAGTAATTCTGTGGGACGAAAACTCGTTGTACTATTCAAATAAATGGTAATATCACCCCATTATAACTATCACCTTTGAAACAGGAGATTTGGAAGCAAATGTTACCACTTAACCCTCTAGTGCACACAGTAAGTTTTAATGTTTCTGTGACCACGACAAAAGTCATAATGGGACCTGTCGTCACTCATGTGCTGTTTGGGCATCTTCGTTCTTTGACCAATTTATCACACAAGATTTTTTTTTTTGCATAATTTATATATCACTGGCATTGTAATTGTTTTAGCTTTAACATAAGTCACAAAAGAAATAAATACAGTAAGACCAAAAAAGACAACTTTTTTGCTCCAAATAAAGAAAAAAATTGGGGGGTTCCCAACATCCAATGGTGGCTTTCAAATTTTTATACATCTATTAGGTTTGGAGAAAACTGCAAAAAACTAAAATCATACAAAAAATTGCCAAAATCTTTATCTTTTTTTATTTTTTCATACTAATAAGGTTTATTGCAATAAATTTTAATGCATTGTATATTCTGTAATGTTAGGAAGAAAAAGGTGGTCTTAAATATCCTGTAGCATTTATGGTTAACATATAATAATTTTTTTTAAGTTGATAGCTGGGATTTTTCTAAAAGTCATGCCCCAGCCACTCTCTCTCTCTTCATTTTTTGTTTTTTGTGTATATAATCATATTGTAAGAATTATGCATATATTCAGTTAAATAAATTTATAAGTACTGTACTGTACATTACCTTATATACAAATATTCTGTATAGACAATATATACGATCTATTGTGTAGTAGAGTATATGGTGGAGGAAATGGTAAGGACAAGATGCATGCCATTCTTGCTGTTTTCCTAATTTTGTTTCCTTGCCACCAACACTTTCACTACTACAGTACTATAACTGTTTGATAATCCTTCAAGGTAGGAAGCAGTTTCATCTCCCTGATATTTCCCATGATAATGAACCGTGTGAGACATATTCCGTTATTGTTTGAATGAATTTGAAAATTTTAACTATTTTCTCTGTGAACATAACAAAAAAAAACACATTAAAGACACTTGGTCATCTGAAAACCTCTTTCATTATAAGACATCACTATTCCAAACGCATACAGTGGGTGTAATGGGGAGGTTTTGAGGGGAATTAAATGGACAGAGACGTAACCTACCAGCTTGGCCGACAGAAGAAGACTGATAAACAATTGGCCCATGCTTATCTCCACCAATGCAATGGTACTTTCTGGAAGCTTGCCTTGTATGAGCATACAGTCATCTATGACACACAAAAATTTAACGCGATCATCTTGAAAACCTTTTTTGGCGCGAATTTTAAAAATTTTATGACACAATTTGCGTCACTGATGCAGTTACTACTGCCCAATAATATGATGTGATTCGTGTCATGGTGCGCGGGAGGGCTAATGTCAGATGCTTATGTTATGAATCATACACTTCTCATTCCAGAATAGATTTGACATACATAACTCTTAAAAAACTGCACAGGATGCAAAACATACTGTATCATGTGCTTGAGTAGAACATTATTCATAATAAATAACCCAGTAGAATATAAACTGCTCATTTAGATGGTAATGGTTACTGTATAGCCTGTACTGTATTTATATGGATTAACCTAAAAAGAATTAAATAACTAGCACACTTACCCAATGTTTCTCCATTACTTGTTTGATGTCCTTCACAGGAAGAAAGGTTAGAAGATGAAGATATTTTTCAACCTGAGTAAGATATAGACGTATATAATAAATAAAAAATATACATCACCCCAATACAGTATATCTAAAGGATAACCAAATAGAGGTTTATATATATATATATATATATAAACCTCTATTTGCAATGTCAAAATATCGTAATTCAGGTTCATTATAACATGGGGTTCAATAGAATAGGTTCCTGGCCAGTCGGACACCCATATGTATCACTGAAAAAAAATCCTAGAATACTACTAGCACTACAGTGAAATTAAACACCACTCACCACATCATAAAGAAGTCTAGTTGTCATCACAAGTCCTCTTCAAGGCTATGAGGACTCTTAGGGGGGGTGGAGACAACAAACAAAGACGCGAACGTGTACTGCACTACTCACCTTGTGTCGCCGCCTGGCAACAAATAGCCTGGTGCCCCCTTTTACTCATGAGGGCAGGGGATATCTGGGCATAGAATTACTGCTTAATTATTAATATTATTTTTGCAGTAGTCGCCCACAACTTCACGTCAGAAAGTAAAAATGGGTTGGTTAATTATATGCAGTAAGTCCTCGATATATGCGAGTTCACTCATATGCGAAGACCCTATTCCTATCAGGAATTCAATTAATGTGAGCAAAATTCAGCCTTATGTGAGATGTCATACTCCCTGATATGGATTCCAACCCTGATGACTCTGCAGATGTCACTCTAACACCATCACCCACTATGTAAAACCTCTACCACCACTTCCATCACCTCGTCTACCCAAGTTGATGTACCTATATCTGCTCTTATTGTATCGATTTGTTTTATGGTTTATTTGTCTTTAAAATGGGTCTGGAACATTTTAATTTTGGGTTACGGAATGCTTCCTATTTTTTCCCATTTAACTAAGTACTGTGCTCGACATATGCAATTTTGATTTATGCGAGGGTTTTCAGGAACACATCCCTTGCATATACGGTATCGAGAACTTACTGTATACTGTATCTTGGAAGCAATTTTGCCATCCCCCCCTGAGTGCCGCTCGGGGTGGTCACCCCACTCAACCCCCCCTCACTATGCCACTATGCTTTGATTTAGAATTTAGTACTTAATCTACCTCTACTCAATTCATAAGTAATTTTTTTTAAGTCAATTTTGAGGACAACACAATTCATTCAGTGGGATGATGTGAATTAAATAAAGAAAATCACATACTGTATTAATTAAGGGTTACTGTAGTGGGCGGCTGTTACAAATTGGATTGTGACAACTAAATACAGGTACTCCTTGACTTACGACCTACTCGACTTAGAACCACCCGGACATACGACCGCAGCAGTCTTATGAAAAAAATTTCAAATACGTATTGTCGAGTCCCGACGTTAGTGATCGCGCTGTGTACTGACAAAATTTTCATTTGTAATTCCCTTTGAAATGGCTGGCAAGCGTAAAAGTGAGAGTTCTCGTGGTGCTGAGAAGAAAAAGAGACACCCATTTTAGATTTTCTATGTATCATTTTTGCATTTTCGACTTACGACCTGGTCGTCTGTCCCTAACCCCGTCGTAAGTCGGGGACTGACTGTACTGTAAGTTAAGAAACTAAAAATTGAAACAATCACTAACCTCCGAGTCTTTTATTCGGACAAAAAACTGGTAGAGGTCAAATGGAGAAGTCTTACTGCTGTCAAGCCAGATAGGATTGCCAGCAGATTTCCCAAACTTGTCACCACTTTCATTGGTTATAATGGGTATTGTGAGACCTGTAAGATAAATATGATAACTAAAATCAAGAGGGAGAATCTCTAATAGTATTAAAACATGTTATAAAAGAAACAATTGGTTGATTCCTTAAACACATAGAACTAGACCTTTTAATTTATGAGGGGTTAGTTCTTGGGCAAACAATACCCTGTACATGACTGAATCTGAGTTGAATTGATCAATGTATTTTATGTTATGGAAAAAATTCCCTTATGTTTTCAGCTGGCCAGTCAGGTGAAAATTTTTATTTCTCAAACAATAATATTGAGAATTGTACTGTACTCATGACACTAACACTTATATATTAAATAATCAAATAATAAAACAAAATTTTTTACAGGTAGTATCCCTCGTTTAGTGTTAATTCATTTAACGTTAATTTGGTTTACCGACAAAAATTTTAAGACCCTTTCTCATTTACAGTTAGGTTAAAACTCAGTTCAGCGATAGCTAACTCACTATGATGGAGGAAAACCGGAATGAGGTGGCCTTGTTACATGTAATGAAACTATAAAAGTTGCGGAGAAATAACTACAACACACAGTATACTCAGACAGATAGAGTACTTCAACAAGACCATCAATAATCTTCAACACACTGTATTCCTTACAATGTACCTATACAGTGTTTCAGCACATTCTAAAAATGGATAATTTACACAGGTATATTTAAATATTTGTACATACTGAATAATATAACTATGATTCTGAATAAACAAATCCACTTGCCTGTAACAGATGTTTTTCGTACTCGATGAATCAGTTGATGACCTGTATAAATATTTCCCATCTGATCATTGCCTCCAATCTACAAGATATAAAAGATGAAATTGAGTTCATAATACTGTATTCTCATAAAATGGCTTATACTTAATAAATAAGTGAAGTACTGTACTGCTTTCTGAAATAAAATAAAATATATTGTGTAAAGTTTCCTTCATGCCTGTTGCAGCATCTATCACTTATTTTCTTTATTTTCACACTTAGTGTACTCCTTCAGATTTTTTTTTAATCTTCTATTACTTATTCCTTCTACATAACCACCAACTCGTCATATACTAATAGAACAAACCTGAGTTAAACACAGCAGAGAACAGTAGGAATTATGTTGGTCAAGAGCTGTGAATGAAGTAAAGTGTGCACTTCAACCCTTTATTTGTTTCATACAAGACTTGAACCAATCACAATAAAAATGCTTTTCAACCTCATTTGTTTTATCAATTTTCCCTTTGACAGGTACATTTTCTCTTTTGAAACATTTTACTGCATTATTAAAGGGTTATTAAAATCATGTGAAACACAAACACATTTTTCTTTATTTTATTGTCATTTAATCATTTCTTTAAGAGATGTGTCCCTCTATAGTGCCCCTTCCCCCCACAACAAGGCCCCAAATATCCATCCTAGTGTCACCCATTAGCAGCCCATCTTTCCCCAAAAATTATTTGATGCCATGGCTTACACTCATTTATGCACATGCACATTGCTACTTCCTAGATATCCATGCCCTCACTTCTTGTGCATGTACATACAGTACAGTATGCCATCAAATCTATGGGCTTCAACGTAAGATCAACCCTCAACACTGATGGCTAGCACTAATAAACACACCAATTACATCTCTCCCAGTAGACCTACCACTCTCAAAAAGGGAAATTTTATATAACTGTTTACATTGAAGGGTAAGAGACAAGTGAGTCTTCGTACAAAAGCAAACTATATCATTACTTTTTCTTGTCATCACTGGCAACCTGGGATTCCTAGTAACATTCCTTCGTCAATCAGGCTACATTCTATTATAGAGCCAAACTGGTTACAAAATTAAATTCCCAGGATCAATCCATGATTAACAATCTGACACTGGTTTAAGAAGACTAGAGGAAACAGCAAAATAAAAACAACAAAATAAACTCCAGTGTTACTGAGCACCTGCATCTCAAAAGAAAGGCAACTGCTTCCCTTCTCTCCCTGTCTCTTTTTGTTCTCCCAATTTACTTTCTCTCTTCCTGCCTCCCATCATCCTTCTCTCTTCCTGCCTCCCATCCTCCTCCTCTCTCCCTTCTATCCATCACTGCCTTCCAAGTACAGTAATATGGCACAACTGTATCCTATTGCCATGCATACACACAGAATAATATGGATATACTGTACTGTAATTTATTCAGTACTGTAACACTTCAGATACATATTAAAAATCATTAAGATGTTTCAGCATTTTCAAAAATCTTCAATATCTTTAAAAAATATTACTGTTAAGCTTTCAATAGAAGAAAAAATATATCATAAGGTTTAAAATAGAGATTATGTGGGTTAGGAACAAAGTAAGCAATGGGCGAAGTGAAGGAGCATATGAATGGTTAATAAGAGAAAGAGGGGCATATGACACACTGCCCTGGTAGGGGAGACTGGACTACAGGCAAATCCCATTTCTTCTTATACTGAAAGTTCTGTAGAGTTTATTTTCACCCATTTCCCCTTACATATTCTATAAATCTACTATTCTGTAGTTCTTCTGCTATCAAAAGAGATTTAAAAGCAGACTCCTGAATCCTCTCTCTACTGTCATCTCCACTGTTTATATTACCATCTGAGACTTCTTATACTCCTCCATCTATGGAGACATTGCACATCCAGTCTTAACCCACCTTTAACACCAAATCAATTATTCACACCTTTGCTTGTACTAAAGCAAACATTTCTCTCTTTACAGTTGCCTTTTACTAATAATAGCCTCCCTCCCACTGCAAAATATGAGTACTGTACAGTACAGTACTGTATACACTCCAAGTTATTTTTTTTTTACTGCAAATGGAAAACAGATTTGTCTAAGTTATAGCTTAACCTCTGCAGCATGCTGAATCATTCAAATATAAAATATTTATTACAATAGTTCACATTTCAAATAAAAATGTGCTTAAGGAAAAAAAAAAGCTTACTGTACCTGAAATTTGCAGTTGTACATGTCATATAGGTACAGCCAATCATATGCCTGGAGAGCCTGAAAGATTTGAGAACATACAGAACACAGAGACACAGAAAGAAAGACTCTTTACTGCAACAAAATAACAAAGCATTATAAAAACACATTTTATTTTAGTACAGTAGAAAAACTGATAATACATTGCCCCTAAAAAATTAAAGGTACACTTGTTTCAAATGGAGCAAATCATCTACCACCTAGTGGTTGACTCTTAAGTTTATTAGCATTTAGCAAATTATGTGCCCCAGAAAACAAAACATGGTTAAATGAAATGCTCCCTATAGAAGAATTAATATGTCAGGGTTAGCAGAATTAGTTATTTAAATGTGAGAATGACAAGAGGTTCTCTGCCTACATGTCAATTGCTTGATCTCTCTTGCATCTCAATGGTGAATACAGTATTTTCTTTATTTTTAAGCCACAGTAGAGTATTGTAATGGTTTCTCCATAACTTACAGTATATAGTTTCATTACATGTAACAATGGCAACAGGCCATCTCACAAGCCACCTCATCCCCAGATTTTTCTCCCTCCCAGTGAGTCAACCTGCCACCAAACCGAATTTTGACCGAAAGTTAAGTGAAAAAGGGTGTCAACATTTTTTATCACTAAACCAAATTAACGTTAAGTGAATTAATGCTAAACGAAGGATACCTGTACGTATAGCAAATTTCAGTATAGAGAGGTAATATTGTAGATGGTGACAATCAGAGAAAGGAAGTAACCAAAGACCATCCACTCCTTGTTGGCAGTATAGGGAGTCCCCAGGTTATGAATGGGTTCTGTTCCTGAGGACGTTCTTAAGTTGGATTTGTACGCAAGTCGGAACACATGCTATGTGCATACAGTACTTACAGAACAATGTTTAAAATCCCACTATATCACAGCCTAAGTCCTTATATACACCTAAAATCATTTAATTTACGACAAAAGAAGAGAATGACAAAATACAGTAAATGAAAGTAAAAAATAAGTCATCAGGTAAATAAAATACTGTAAATTCGTATCGGCGGGAGTTCGTAAGTCGGAGACCCCCCTGTAAATATTCATAACCCTCAGCCTTCTGTGGTAATTATTTTCTCATCAAGTCTCTTGAAGAAACCCAGGTATGACAGGGAGGTATACACTATTCTTCTGATCAGTTTGAGTCACAACTCAGGGTTTAGGGATCCCTGGTATTTCAACCTATAAACTTGTCTACTAACAAATGAATCATCACCACTGGTGTTGGCTTATACAACATTTTGATGCCAACTACAGTAAGTGATTAATCACCAAGGAGTATAAAATTTTTAAAACATTTATTGCAATACTTGTACTGTATAAGTTTACCTGATATGAAAATTCAGTGAAGCTAAGGCCTTCAGGTGCACTAAGACGAGACTGTACACTGGTGCGGGACAGCATATCACCCATTCTTAAGTTGCGACCAGCATCACGCAGGAAATCCACTACGTTTAATCGTTTGTACCAGTGAAGATTATTCTCAATTCTGGTAAGATATTACAATATCATTACAATAAAATCAACAATGAGTTTTGAATACATTACACCGGTAATCTTTACTGTGAAACATACCGGTAAGTATTATATGAGAAGTGGATGTTAGTGATGATCTTGACATGTATGCAAAAGTCCAATTGCTGCGGTAATATCTCTAGAGCCTGCAGAAGAGAATGAATAATATCCCAAGATGCCAGGTTATCTTAAACATCGAGAAAATTAGATGTATTATATAGAATTTGAAAGGGTGGTCTTACTAGTCTTGGTGTTGGCTGAGTGGATGTCATCAGGTAGCTGGGCCAATCAGTGCCATGTGAGCCCTACATCACAGCCACACCCCCCTTCCTTCGTTGCCACAACTGCCATAATAAACACCACACATTATTTTTAAGACTGTGCTCTATTACAGTATTTATGAAGATTTTGACCATTATAATTCTTTTCTTCATTCTCTTCTACAGACTCTTGGAATTTTGCATAAATGTCGAGGTTGTCACTAATATCTGGAATTCTTCATACACTGAAGGCAATTATCTATTTAATACACATAAAATTCAAAGGAAGTAGCATTAATTACAATGTATCTGTTGCTATAAACCATAAAAACAGCCCACAATAGCCACACTAACTCATTATGATTGTGCCACCTTATCACACCCCTGAATGCAGTGACAATGCTCCAATATCTTTTCAATATACCCCAGTGTATCAATTCTTAAAGAAGGAAAATGATCCCCAAAAGATATGGATGTTGTAATTTAAGGCCAGAGAGACTGATTGGTTCTTAAATTCATCTGGAAGTAAGACATGTTTTGGTAGTGTGGTAGTGAAGGAAACTCGACAAAGAGATGGAGCTTTATTCCTGATGTTTCGTCACTAGACGTTTTCAAAAGAATGAATCCACAATATTTTATCCTAGAGAGAAGACAGTTTCTCTCTCCGTAGAAAAACAGCGAGTCATTTAACAGGTATTAGCTAAGATGAGAAAATCATATTACCCACCGTGACATCACATGCCATCTGCCTTCCAAAAATTTGTGTCAGGCCTCTACTCAGACCTCACATACTGCACCTGCTTGTCTGACCTCAGAAAATGACTGTGTTAATCCCCTGACTTAACCAGACACCATTTTCCTTCGACATAGATTGAGCCAGTTGACCCCCCCCCCCCAGCAAATGCCCATGCGTTTATCCTCAAGAACTTCTCATGCGACAAGCCATTAAGAGCTAAATTTGTAAATATTATCATATGATAACAATTGTCTCAAAGCTCATAGAGAACCATAAATACTATACCTTAAAGTTGGTAATGGCTCATCATTTCCTTGATCCCAGAATATCTGCTTGTGATTTTCAAAAATTTGACGAATATTCTCCGAAATTTTAATAGAATTAGCTTTTATTTCATCTATTTTGAGCTGAGGACGTTCACTGCTACGCCCACTTGGATCACCTACCTGTGCTGTGGCTCCTCCAACCTGTAATATATAATTTATAAAAGAGATAACAAATAACCCTTTCAAACTTTTGCAGAACATAAAAAATACAGAAGTGATCTTGAAATACCAATTTATAACCAATACAGATAGACCAGGTAACTACAATAATGTACAGTACTACACTGTCAACCTTCTGGCACTTATTCCATGGTTTTCAGGACTCATCTACTTCTGTGATTGAGCTTTATTCAAGAAATTCAGTAAAACTTGAAAATTATAGATAGGATCTCTCCCACCTCACTTGCAGCCCCTATAACAAGGGATAACACAGGTGAACCAGTTACCAGAGGCCAAGAGCTTTGTGTCTTTGCCAAGATGCTTTTGTGCATGTGCTCCTCCACTCATGCAGGTTACAAAACAGACCCCAGTTCCTAGCTGATTTCCACTCAAGCCAGCTAGTCAATATTGGAGAATGGAGGCACAAACCCCAAGTATCAGTGCAACTCACAACCTTTAGCCCAGGCCCAAGGATACAGAACACCACAGGGTCCCAAGTATCCCCCCTGCCCCAACAGCATTAGTATCATCCAGGTACACTGAGATGAACACCCTCTGTAATATCCATATTCCTCCCTGGAGAACTGACTTCAAGACATGCCCATTAGGGAGGCTAAGGATAACTAAATCCCTCATGGCCTTGCATGCAAAGAATGTAACCTAGCTGAGTCTAAAAGCATTTTTCATGGTACATACTGAAGATAAATTCTAGAAGATCCATATAAAGACATATAGTAGTAAAAATTCAAGGAATGCTAATTTAACTGGTCTACTTTACATGTAACCGTGAATTGCTTAATTGGACAAAGGACGTGAATGAATCCCTATCCAGTTTCCATGCTACAAATACCTGGTACAGGTTGCACCTCGCTAATCCAGGAAGCTTGGGACCAGACTGGTTCCGGATTAGCGAAAATTCCTAACCATCGAAGTGACAGATATGACATGCTTGTGAGCAATCTATGGGGTACATAGAATCCAGAAGATAAGAAATACAGAAATACTATGTGAAAGAAGTGTTGGATAGAGAGTGTTTCAGGATCTGCTGAGATGTTATGGACACAGACAGGATGGGAAGTGAATAATTGATAAAGATTGTATAAAATTAAGAGGTGGATGGTAGGAAGAATAGGGAAACACCAAGTAGGAGTGAAGGATGCTCTACATGTGAGGGGGATGGATATCCAGAAAGCAGCAGTGTGAACAATTAAGTGGAGATCATGGCTTCAAGTAGATTTTGGGGAATAGAGTACATTACCTCTGATGGATTGTGTGAACAGTGCTGGATTAATGCATGGACAAACTGGGCTGGAGCCAATAGGCTCCATGGCTCAGAGGAGCCCCCAGCACCACTTTCCAGTGATCAAATAAAATAAGTTATTGTAATTTATGTTCATTAGTATTTGTCATTAATAGGTATTTTCTTTTTTGAAAAGCCCAAATATAAATTACCTGGTAAAAAATGGCAATTTTCCAACCTATACTGTAATTTAAAAATTTTCTTAAGAGGAAATTGGGCAGCCCTAACTAAAAGCTTAGTATCAGCCCTAGAGTAACCGGTACCATTTGCAGCTAAACAGCAACTAATACAATGCTGTTAGACACGATTAAGGTAAGTAGGATGTCCTATATCTATAATCATAGTAAAAACATCCATTTTCAAATAATTTTTCCCTTGAAATTTGATAACTGTACTCATGAATACTTAATCCAGCTCAATGTAAGAGGTGAAGAGTAAACCACATTAGGGGCTTTATTGTGGATTAAGAGTACCACTGAAGAACACATCTATTATTTCAGTAAAATAACTTAATGGCAAAGGATAAGGGAAGAATGTGTGTTAGGATTTAGTCTTGATTCTGGTCACCCTCACACAGTACCTACATTAAGTGGTAAGAGGCTTGAAATGCTAAAAAAGTTGTTTTGAGTAGTCTATATTTACCATTTGTCTTCTTTGTTACCAGCTTGTTCTTTGTGTTGTGTCTACTTACTATCTCTTAATTTGCTTCACTCATGTTAGCTCTAAATTAAAAAATAAATAAAATCAAATTTGGTAACATTCAGTTCACTTACAAGAGCAATAATGTTGTGCCCAGCCCTCTGACAATGAAGAAGGGCTATTAACACCAGCAAATTGCCAACATGCAAAGAATCTGCAGTAGGATCAAAGCCACTGTATACAGTTTGTGGTTGTCTGGTCAGTTCCTCAATCAACTTGTTTGTACTGCAAAGATTTATAAATATAGTATTAGATCCTGAAAATGATGCTTGTCAAATTAACTTAAGAATTCATGGATTAAATCTACACGAATGATAACCAAGATAATAATTTAATGTACGTGTACAGTACAGTCAAACAAAGACTATCCAAACATCCCTTTTCCAAACTCCATGTGGATAGTTCATGGTGGATGATAATGGAGTACAATAAAGGTAAACAATTCAACTACAAAGCACTCACCCACAGGATCAGTTCCATGCACCTACCCAACAAACACTAAGGGCATTGTTTAAGTGTAAATACACAAAACAGTAGTCATAAATTTTAAGTGTTGGCAATTAAATTTTTTTGCAACCGATCAGTGTGTCGCATCTGGTCGCTCTGTATATGAATATTAAATTGATTCTTTCTTCTAGCGTTAATTCATCTGCCATCTTTGTTGATATGTTATGATTCTTATGGTGTGCGACTTATGAGACACCCTGTACATTGAGTCTAGGTGGATGGACATACTAAAAATTTTGTGGCCTGGTATCTGAAAACTTGTGAGTCAGGAATATTGGGAAACAGAACACAGAAAAAAGTGGTTTTAAAGTAATGGCATTGTACATGGTACATTTGCACATACTGAATTTCTTATGGCCTGAATTTATTTTTGTAATGGATTTTAAAATCTGATACTATATACGATAAAAAGTTTTAACTTAAGAGGAGAAATGGGTCCCATAAGTCTGATGGCACACCAGGGATACAGCAAAGTAAATCCTAAACCTTCATTGCAGTATACAAGTAGACAGTCTGGCCAGTACTGTACTACACTTGATCACCATCACTTCCTGAACTGTACAGTTATGTACAGTGAGAATGAAGTATCTTCCCAGCTATGGCCAAAGTATTGTATAATGAAACCTGATTACCCAACACAGTGAATGGTGTCACTGGTGACCCCTTTCCAAAGTTCCACAGGCCTGCCAACTGTTTATGAGCTACACACATGTGTATGTCAAATGGTTCATCCATTCTGTGATGTATTCGTCAAAACCCCAGGAAGATACTTCATTCTCTCACTGTACCTATTCTAAACTGGTCCAGTGATCCTAGGGTATCCACTCCACCATTACAATACTTAACTCAAGTATCACCCATGGCAAATAGGTCTTGAAGAGAATACAAAACAGCAGCAAGTGATATATGGAGGTAAAAGTTAGAATGATGAACAAACTGAGGGAAAGAAATTGACTTAAGAGAGAAAATTTTGGAAAATATGGTATTCTGTGAGCATTGTGTTCAGAGAAAATTATTGCTCTTCATGTTTTGTGAAAAGGAAATTAAATATATCATCTTCAATTTTATGCTCTAATGGAAAGCATTACACTGTACAGTACAGTATGGTATTACATACTTTGAGTCAGGAAAGCGGTCAGCCCAAAGTCCTCTTTCATTAAGCTTTAAAACGTTGCGAGATGTGTAAGTTCTACACAGCTGGAGATACAATCTGTGATAAGCCTGGCGTAATGAAGAGCCAACTAACACAGTTTGTCTTGTGGTTTGTATTGCAGGATACATCTAGAAAAAAATATCACACAATATAGAAACTGAATTAAGAGAAGAGCATAAACACATTGACAAACAAGTGCATAAAGTACTAAATTGAATACTGTACTGTATAATGAGTAAATGTGGTAGCAAAGCAAGACAAATGGCAAGCAGGCTGTGGTCTTCAGTGATAAGGTGAAGTAACAAACACCACGACCAAACTACCGGGTATGTCTGATATGAGCAGGAACAAACCACTGAGTAGTGAATATTCAGTATACTGTGTCACTCACTGGTTCATTGCTGCTAAAATAATACACAGTTCAATAATGATTTGATCTCATTCAATGAAATGCCAAAGGCATAAAGGCCATGGCCTTCTTGATTTTTTCCAATTAATCAAATGCTTTTTTTGGCTCCCCCACTTCCTGGCCGCCATTACTGCCCTATATCCACCTCAATATTAAGGTATATTCCTTCTGCTGAATAAGCCAGGGGGTCCGGGGTGCAGAAGCCCCCGGTTCTGAATTTAGGTTACGTTCTATTATGTTCTGTGCAGTGTCATATCTTTCTTAATACTTACTATTATCCAAAGATAATCTGAGGAAAATTTAATTAAACTGAACAACTCCTTCTGGTATTAGTTGTCTGCTTCACTTTGAACTTTACTAAGATGGCCTTCTTTCTAACTAATCTAACCTAACCCAAATCAAAGGTAACCTTTCTCTATAACCTAATTATTAACAACACAGTCTTTCAATACGGTATTATTATTGTTTTCGTCATCCAGCGAATTTTAGGAGGTCTGGATAAGTTTGGTTAGATATAGGTTACATTAAGTTCCAATAAGTTAGGTTGGTTAGGTTACGTTAGGTTAAATTAGTTTGGATGTCTAAATGGCAGTATATATTTTGCCGTAACCAGTAAGTTCCTAATGCTATTTTACCAAGAGTGCGCTCTTTATGGCTAATTGTCCATTACTGGTTAACAATGCGAGAACTATATTTGACCTAACCAACCAAAGAAACCTACCTAACTTCCAAGCCGGGGGCTGACCCCCGTAATATTAAACAGAAAGTACTTGGCCAATCACAGCTCTTTCCACCTTTTCAGCCATATCTGGTTATTCTGGTACTGAAAAATCAAATCTCCGCTCCCGACGCACCCACATACTGTTCATTAGCAAAGACAAGAAACTCTTGCCCAATTATAAGTCTCCTATTACCATAGCCAATAAGAAAATCCGACACCACCTCCCGCACATGTACTGTAGACGCTTAAGAAACCAACACGGAGGTAAGGAGCACTGCGTGATGGTTAGTCAGACCTTCTCTCTGAGACATAAACAACAAATGGCAACAATTGTGACTGACCAAATCTAATAATATTGAAAAATAATATCTCTGTTATCCTAAATTTCCGACGGAAATATCATTGAAGAAAAAGATCTTAGAATTGTCTAAACATTATGAAAAACATATTAAGAGCAGTGTCAGAGAGACCGGTGCATAACTGAAATTTCACCCCCAATTTTCACTGATTATATTAGTGAATGATGTATTATGTTGGGGAAAATATTGAAATGGGTGAAATCATGTGCTAACTAAACCCAACCTAAGATAACCTAACCTGACCTGACCTGACCTAACCTAAATCTTAACTCCCCTACAATATATCTAGAAAACTAAGCATTTGCACAAGAAAATGAATAGAAGGAAAAGTATAATCAGCGTACAAAACTGTGGTATAACTGCAGTTTCGGACAATATGGATCTAGAGTTGAGCAATGTGTTTTTCCGATTGTTTAGAGGCTTTAGACAATTTTGAGACACTTCTTTTATAACGTATCCCTCGCAAATTACTTAAATATACCGGAATCACCATACAATAAATTGTGTAAAAAATCGGAAAAACAGATGGCTTAACTACTAGGGGTATTGAGGAGGGCTACCAAATTAGTACCACAGATCAAGGATTTATCTTATGAGGAAAGACTAAGGAAATTACAGTTACCGACACTGGCGTATATGACCAGGCATGTACAGCAGGAATATTCCAGATGAGGGAGGCTGACACTACCCGGGGGAACTCAAAGAAGATCTACAAAACAAGAGCGAGGCTAAATCTTAGAAGACACTCGTTCACGAGTAGGGTTGTCAACAACTGGAATGGGTTACCTGAGTGGGTAGTGAATGTGGAGACGGTGGAAAAGTTTGAAGCAAAATTAGATAAATACTGGAAAAATCAACAAGTATATAATTATAGGGCACAAATATCCGCCACACACAGCCACCGTCTGAGTAGAGAAGATGCTATTGAGCTGGAGTCACAGGCGTGAGCCTCTTCTGTGAGTATGTGTGAGTATTGTCCAAAACTGAAGTTTTACCAAAACTCTCTTTAGAAAAAACTCTTAATTACTTAACCAAATACGGTGACCAGCCGTATATTTGCCTTTGCTGCTTTATTAACTTCAGAAAATTAGTTACTAGAATTAAAATAAGCACATACCTGCATCTGGTGTTTCCCATACACAGGTAACGTGGTACTGTAGTTGTGTATAACTTATAGCTGGCAAAGGTGACAGTTTCGCTACCATTAAATTTGTTTGTTTACTAATATTCTGGTTTTTGAGCGTGCGCAGTTCCCTTACCTTTGTCGCATTTTACCCTCTATTAATAAGGTTAAAAACGTGATTTAATGGACTATATATTATGCTAGACTATTTATAATAATCTAGAATTTATTTAACCTAGTCATACTGTCATATTCAAATATATATATATACTGCTGTGTTAAAAACTTTATGCATTCGGGAACATCTTCCTTTATTTATCCTCGACATCGGGCTCGAACCCAGGAGGTCCAGGAGACAACTGAATATGTCTTGAATAAAGACGAAAGGTAAGGTGCTCCATTGTTTCCCCTTTTCTTGTGTGATTTTATCAAGATTTATCTTTTCCACGTTTCCATTGTGGATCTACATGATATATATATATATATATATATATATATATATATATATATATATATATATATATATATATATATATATATATATATATATATATATATATATATATTTTATCGATATATATATATATATATATATATATATATATATATATATATATATATATATATATATATATATATATATATATATATATATATATATATATATATATATATATATATATATATATACATATATATATATATATATGCTGATAATCAGCATATACCTGGATCACGCGCACCTACAGTGATTTACTTGCAGTATTGCAATGATATCGTATGGCTATGTCAAGTTTTCCTGAACGATGAAGGCCTATTGTAGTGGATTCCTTCCCTACAAGCACCGAACCTTCTCGAATTCCCCAGCCTACGCCTTCAGCGCCGCCCACGGAGCGGGGGTCAGCTATCTACCCACGCCTACCCCTGCCTTTTAAGGCCTGACACCGCTGTGACCGCCCTTTTTCTACCCAGTGCCATCAGTAAGCAACACCTCTGCACCAGCCTGGCGGCTCCCGCTCCCGCCGGCGACCTAAGTGTCCCTCAAGCCGCGTGCCCTCACTCTGGGCACCCTCACCACCCACTCTCTCTAATCAACGCTTATTACCATGCTACCTACCCAGCAACAAGCTGCATTGTACATCCAATACAATATGTATACAGTGAGCACATTGTGAGTTTCCTTTCTCCATCCCATCCTGAGTGTGAACCAATATCTCATACCCCCCACACTATATTATATTTACTTTATCCTCTTCGCCTCTGATCTGCTCGTTAGCCTGGAGGAAAATTATTAATAAATTAAGAATTAATCTACGTCAGATTATCTCATCATTGGAACTGGAAACGCCACAATACACTTAAGTGTGAATGCAAGCATACTGTGTAAGGAAATGTCAATACTAAAATGGTACTGTGAAAAAATATATATATTCCGTAGTTTACTTAAACGTGGGACTGGAACCTTAATAATAGACACAAGTAAGTAGTAGGGTACTGCGTCTCGAAAAGTTACACTGAGAGGGCTCTCCTAGCACTACAACAACGGCCCACCGGCCACCAGGATAATCGGAAAATGCCACGTCTATGACGTCCTCAGGCGATGTGGTGTTGGTGTGCGTGTAGAGTGGGAGGTAGCAGAGCGAGCTACAGACTGCACCAGTCAACCCGCTAACGTTCCACATATCACCTCATAGCCACGCATTTACGCCTTCAGGTAGGTTTTATCTTCTGTGCTTACATTATTGTTTATTTTTGTGATTTATTTGTCTTATTACCAGTGATGGTGTTTACGTGAGATGAACATTGACTGCATGATACTGTAGATTAGTGGTATCAAACACAAAACCTTTCGAGGGCCAATTGTTATTTTAGTTACCCTCTTCAGGACCAACACAAGTGCTATATCACTTATTTACTGGATTGAAGTTTACAGCTTCACACATTGCCTTACCTGGCTTACCAGGAATACCTCATTTGGGTTCATCTGATCTTAAGTATGTCAAATTCATTTTACTAAATAAACATGATTATATCTATTTCATAATTTCTAGGGATGATAAATTTTACCGTCATCCTGCGGGCCACACTTGACCATCCCAAGGGCCACATTTGGCCAGCGAGCCACACATGACCCTCCCAAGGGCCAAATTTGACCCGTGAGCCATGAGTTTGACACCCCTGCTGTAGATGGTAACAGAGACGTGACCGATCGCCCAAACGGCTAACGAGTTAGTTTAGTTAGTTTAACAAATTTATTGACAAAGCTTGTAGTACAGTTTGCCTATTCTGAGTAATTCAGTCAGGTCTTGACACTGAGGGTGGTATCACTTCTCACTGCCACGCAGGACAGAGGTTCATACACAAAGAAATACAACATATTAATTGACAGCTATATATATAGAGGTCAGATTCATGTGACGTCCAATGTATGTGAACCACTAACGGCTAACGAGCTGATAATTTGGTGAAGAGGATAAAAGAAAAGGAAAAGTAACAGAGACGTGACCGATCGCCAAAGCCGCTAACGAGCCGATCAGTGAAGAGGATAAAAGTAAAAGTGAAAACCAGGGAAAACACCAACAGCTTGACTAAGTTGGGTTTCTTTAATTACTAACGTTTCGGAAAATCATTTTCCATCATCAGAGCCTAGAAAACAGACAAAAAGTTTAAACAAATTGCAGTTAATATACAATAAAAACGGAATATTTTAAAATTTACTTCTCGCAATTTTTTTTAAAGAGCATTTTAATTTTACCCCAAAAAAAAATGACAGGAGACCTACGTACAAAACTAAAATCAGAAAAAAAAACATACAGGGGGTATTATCTTAATTTAGATGAGCCTAAGTGTGAAAAACTCATCAAATTCACAGGAAACCATATCACAATTGGATGGCTTTACTTTATATTGATACAAGGCTTCCATAAAGAAGTCCGTCTCACAGTTGCTCCAGCCAAAAACTGAGAAATCACACCGCGAAAAAAGGTGGTCATGTTGGTGGGCGTGGTTACGGACAGTTGAATGTGGTGGTTGTGTGATTAACTGGCCTTTTCGGACGGAATGGACCCAAGTGCTCATGGATGTGAGTTATCAAGTGTCTTTTTGTTTTACCTATATATGCTGCCCTACAGCTAGCACACGTAAATTGATAAACAACTGAGGATTGCAAGTGTGTGGTTATGGCGTCTTCAGTTTTAAAGAATTTTTTAATTGAACTCGGGGCTTTGAAAACTAGTCTAAGAGAAATTTGTGGATAAAATTCATTGGCAAGCTCCATAAGTTTGTTTCTAAGAGTGAAACTGAGTGGGCCTGTGTACGGGATGGTGAAATAAAATATTTAGGAATGGTGTGGATGTGAGGCTGTGTGGGACCAAAAATCCTATTAAGGGTTCTGCCTATATAAGTATCTGTAAATCTCTTAGGGAAACCACTGTTAAAGAGTAGTTCCTTATGTATTTCAGTTCAATGTCCAGGTGGAAATAGCTTGAACATATATACAGGTATTAAAGGCTCTGTCAGTAAGAGTCCGTACTAGATTTCGTTTGGAATTTAGAGGAATGAATGATGAACATTTTGTTCTCAAACCTGTATAAGGCTGTCTCGAAACTATTATGCCCCACCTCTAGGAGGCTAGGAGGCCAAGATGCGGGAAGAGAGCGAAATGGTTCTTGGTATAGTCTTGTTGATATATCCACTTATATAGCCGATACCATTTGTATGAACGTTGATTTGTACAAAGATTTTTAATTTTGAATCAAATTCCAGATTCAGTATTATGACAAAAGCTAAACTTGTGTGATATTATACCAATTAAAAAAAGTATGATTGCCGAATACTATACATACAGTGCTCTTCTGCCCAAAGGGTTGCTAACTTGTGCACGGATATCAATTCATTCAGCTTAGCACACTGCACTGGATCCATGCTGCCATATTTCCCATTAAATATAAATGTACAGGTAATTTATATTTTGACTTTAATAATTTTTTCTTATAGACTATTGGAATTTACCCTTTATCTTGGTGTTTTTTTTTATTGCTTCATGAAACTGAAATCTGTTAAATGGCAGGTTAAGGAATTTATTTGACCGAATTACTAATAATTAGTGTTGACATATTATAGACAAGTAATTATTAATTTTTTACAATATATCAACAGCAATGGGGTTTACCTCTCAGTAAAATTATGTTAAAGCTGGTAAAGATAATGAGGATGATGACGCCACTTTAATTATTCCGCAACGGACCGATAAACAACAAGACCCTGAGGTTATCGGCAACTCGGGTCTTCATGTGTTGGTGAGCTTACAGTATACTTTCCCTGTGTACAAGGTGATGTGCGATACTGTATTTATTGTTAGAATTTCTTATACCTATAAACCTTTAATTGTCTGAAATTATAAATATCTTTATAAATTGATAAAATAAAAATTTTTATTTAACTTTTTTACTTGGGTGGTCGGTCACGTCATGTTGTGACTATCCAGTTCATCGCCATAACTTAATGCATATTGATATCTTTCTAAAAAAAATTCTCTGTTTCTTGTTGCTAAGTTTTAGACAATGAAGACTCCCACTTTCCTTCCAGGAAGTTCGATACCATGGCGGAGTACATACTGGGGCGGAGCACAAAGCGAACGGCGAAGTTGTGGGTGACGGGGGCATGTTTAACACTGGTGTTGGTGAGTTTCTTAGGTACTCATCGTCCCCCTTACCCAGCCACTCAGTACAGCAGTTTCTGGACCTCGTCCATACATCTGGTGAACGGCAGGTACCCTGGCAGGTACCTTCCCTTTCTGGTGTTCCCGGCGTTGGAGGAGAAGTTGATGGGTGGCAACATCCTAGCCGAGGCCCTGTCTGTGAAGGTACTGTTGATGTCGGTGACGCCTCATCACTCGTTCAACACTTCCCAAGAACTCATCACTTACCTTCACAGGTGTGTCCTATAATTCTTCATTATTCACAAAACAATGTGCTGGGAAAATTAACAATCTCGACATGGATATGCATTCCGACACAGGATGACGTGTACACTGTACAATCACAACCTTTACGATCCTGGCATCAATAATAAAGAAAGACGAGTCTGAAGGTATATAAGACTGGGTCCAGATGGCTGTTACTGTACAATTAACTGATGTGAATGACATTTGACAATGGAAAATTCTTACTCGATTCGTTTCACCTGCATTTATGGGCAGATTTCCCTTTTGAGTAAGAATAAATAGGTAAGCATTAACTCAAAAGAAATTTCGCAGCGTTTGTTTTCAATTATGAGGAAAGATCTACTGATCCCTATTTAGAGCTTAAGCTGCATAAAAAGAAATGACCGACGTATCCTAGGAACTGTGGTACAGCCCAACGCCTGTTAACTCTTCTAAATCCCCGCCGCTCGTATTATCGAATTTGTCACTGACGTGGGCGGATAAACAAATTCGTGGTTCATAATACTGTATATTACTTGCTCCTTAAAGGAACGTTTAATAGCTGTTAATTTTTTTTTACTTTCATTGCAGTAAAGATTATATGACGTCTAACTCGTCCTAGCCAAAAAAATTACTTATATTTTTTATCCTCTTTTTAGACATTATATTTAAACCCTTCCATAGCAGTAAATCTTTGACCCTTTTCACTTTGTGAATTTTATCAAACACAGCTAAATTTGCATTACCATGTAACAGTCAGCCCATATAATTCGTGAATTTTAACATTTAAATGCATAACATCCCACAGATCCCCGCCACAGTCGAAGCTACAATTAAAACAGAAGGTTGATAACAAGAAACTGTGGGGACCAAAGCTGGAAACTGTCAGCGACTACTTCAGGTACCTGAAGACACCTCAGAACTTATGTCGCAAGCTGGTGAGACTGGGCGGGACAATATCGTGTAAGAAAGGGACTGGAGACGAGAACAACATGGATGGCCACAAGGTAAATGATCTTAGGCAGTAGTACAAAAAGTTCCCTGTACTTTCCTTACTGTGTTAAGTTTATAAGTTCAGGGAGTTTGTGTGTTATTAGTTGTCAGAGTAAAAAAAATGTGTATCATGTAATTTGTAAGGCTGTAAAATAACAGATAATTTCATATTTTTAACACTTATTCGATGAATCTCTCACTTGCTCTGCCATTTGTGTCTGTGCTGACTGCCACAGTACGTGTGTATGGACCCGTCACTGGAGGTTGTTGGAGCCAGGGATGCGCGCCAGTGCCTCACACTCTCGTTCGGCACTCAACGAGACACATCCTTTGACGACGCCGCCTCCGAACTCCCCTGTGAGGTGCACATGTTCGACGTACTCAACTTCGATCCTTTGTTGCCGAAGGAGAGCGACCATGTGTTCTTCCACGTTGTAAGTCATCATTGTTACTTAGTTGTTACCCAGTATTTGCACTAATGATTAGATATATTTACAGGCACTTGTCAAGATTGTTTGAAATTTTAATTTGTAATGTTTTTTTTATTCTAAACCATATAAAAATATATTGAAATAAGTTGTCGACTGTATAGCTTTTATTTTACTTACATTTGTTTTACTTATCAAATATTGTTGCTTAGAATCTCAGGTATGACAACAAATCCGAATCTCAGTAGTTTAGACACTTGCTAACTCGAAAATTATAAACATTGCATTACTATTGATTTACAAGGCCTATTACTATTTTGAAGTAAAATTTAGGGTCCCTGTCATTATTATACTGTCAGAGGGCGGACAATCGGTAGTAGTTCGAATGCTCAGCTTCGTATCCGGAATATTGAAGCAGATTACCAGACTTTTCTGGGGGACTGTGCGTGTACTGTATATGCTTGATAGTGTGTGTGTATGTGTGTGTTTAAAAAGTTAGGCAGAATGATATGTTATCCCATCAACTGATCAGAGCAGCTACTGCCAGGAATTGACGTTGAGAATTCCAAATAGAAAGAAAGAAGAAAAAACATGGAAGACAAGAGACATTTATATACAGTACTGTATGCAGTAATAACCAAGTGTGATCCCTTGGCAGGAAGGGCTCTCGGGTCAGAAGATCAGCGTCTTCTACAGCAATATCAACCAGTCGGTGAAAATGGACACCCTCAGAGGCCACTACGATAAGAACGGTTTCTTCCCGCGACCCATACATGTCCTCAAGGTAATCATCTACCACTATACACACACACACACACACACAAATATATATATACAGCTCCTCCCCGACTTACGACCTACTCGACTTACAACTACCCGTACTTACGACCTGCCTTAGTCGGATGTATATATATAGTCGACATTTATTTCATGGAACAAAAGGTAAAGAAACTAGGAATATAAAAATTAAAAGGATATGTATAAGTTTTCATGCAGAAATTTAAAGTTCAGACTACAATAAAAACATATTAGATTAAATAATGAATGCCAATTTAAAAAGTAGTATAAAGTTAAACATATAGTTAGTGATCTACTTTTTCTTCTCATCAAGACGCTTATGTCTGTGAGGTTTTATGACAGTATGGTCAACTTGTTGTGTACCGACACCTGAAAGAACAGATAGGCTTACTACCAAGGGTAACATTGTACAGTAAACTCCTTCTATACTCTTGGTAGGGTATAAGATTCAAAATTGATAAATAAAAAGGTTGAAAGATGCATATATAAGGCTCTTGATTTAGTGGCAGGAACACTCAATAAGGCTACCTTCCTGCAGGTGGATATAGAGCAGGACGAGTGGGAGAGCTTCATCAACATCGCCAAAGACCCACTGTTTGATGCTGTCGGTCAGGTGGGTTATTCCTATACCAGCTCTGCTACTTTATTCATTATCTTTCCTCCTGGAACCATTCTCTCTCTTCCTCTCATCTCTTCTGGTCTCTCTTTCTCCTCACCCTTCTCTGGGACCATCATCTCTCCTGTCTGTTTTTAATATATAGCTGAGGAATCTCTCCATTGGTGTTTAGTACATCAATATTTCATCTCCTCTCACTTTTATGGACTCGGCACATATATCACCTGCTGTCTCCATCGAATCTAATACCAGTTGTTAATAGTAGCATCCTCTCTGTTCCTTGGTACTCATGAGTTACAAGTGGGAGCTTCTTTGTCATTTGATACTCATGAGATACTAAAGGAAGTTTCTTTTTCATATTATTCTTGTGGGAGTAATGCCATCATCATTCTGACTCCTAGAGCACATGCCTAACTAACCCCAGGTCTCTCCCTTACGCAGGTGGCACTGGAGGTGCACGTAGTAGACTTGGTGCACGGACCCAACAAGAACTCTCCTCCTGACATACCCAGAGAGAAGTGGCTGGAGGCACTGCAGAAGCGATACGACATTCTTAGGATGATTGAGGTTAGTAAGAATCTCTTCGTACTATGGTATGATGCACTCTCATCCGTGATCCAACATTCATCTTTACAAAGGCTTTAGTCTTCAATATACCTATACTGTCTGGATCTACAACTGAAAATTTCATGAATATCTCAGTCAGCTAATAGAAATAAGGACCCAGGGAACAGGACAACATGCTAAACCTGCTACTGCAAATCTATTTTATTTACATTTTGGATAACACCGAAATTCTGTAGAATAACAGGAGCAGTCATGAGTATTGAGCAGGTAGTTTATGCTGTAGGTGGGGCTGACCTGTGGCTCGGTGTTGGGTTAGAAAGTGATGCTTGGTGGTGATCGTGTTTTGGAGAGCAATGCTTGGTGATGATAGTGTTCTGGACTGTATATCATATAGCTTTTATAATGTACTTAATGTGCTTCAATGGCTACAGACATAAAGCATGGAATGCACTTTCAGATTCTACAATAAATTTTACAAAAGAATTTTGGAGAAAAAATATTCTTCGTTTCGGCATCTAGTGTACAGTACATAAAGTACCTTTTGATATTTCAAGCATGTTTTTACTTTACAGGCACGGGGGTTCCAGCGGGTGTTGTACTGGGACAACACTCAGGAAAAATTCTCCCTCTACGACGAGAATGGTACCCGGCACGAGACAGCAGGCGAGGTTCTGTACATCAATACAAACTGGTACAACACCACCTTCAAGCAAGACCTCGCTAGACAAGGCTATAAATTTCGTGGGGTCACGTGACGTTTCAGCTCGTTAGAAAACAAAGACAAATTCACTGTGGGCGCTCACTGGGGAAAAAAAATAATACCCTGTGAATTTTTACTTACTTAACATGGACTACCTCCCAGGCTTTAAAAATGAGCAGAAGAGGATAGAGTATAATTAGGTATTCGAATCACCAGTGATTCATAAAAGGAATAAATAAGGGATCCATTTGAAGGGCTTTTGTATTAGTCCTCCATAGTAGACCTTACTATTGTCTTGCATTAAGTGGACAGACTGGCAAGTCAACTGTTGAGGTTGCTTCCCAAGTTCATTGTAATGTACTGTATTTTAGTCATCTATTCATTACTGCTGTGAGACCCCGATAGATTGAGAGTCCAAAGGTAGAAGTATCTTGTAACCTGTCGTGTAGTAATCCAAAATATCAAGACCATTTGCTTTTCCTGAAATTGGTAATGATACTACACGCTGGCGATGGGTTTCCATGCAAGCATTCTTTGCATGTGAGCAAAGTGGTGGTGATTGGTCACTGACATGCTTGCGCAGGTTCATGTACAATCTGGATCAAGTGCATGCCCAGTACTTGTCAACAACATGTAACAGAGAAATGATGTTGAAAGAGGATAGGTTGTTGACAGGTTAGTGGTGTTGATTGGGCAAGCTAGACGATGTGCTGCACATCCTGGTCGACTGTGGGGAAGGCAGCAAAGTTGTTCACCACCTCTGGCCACAAGGCCCTCCAGCAGGAGTTAACACAAGAGGGTTAACAGGTCATCATGGCACTGCTTGATGAAGGGGATGTAGTCTGCAATGGAGAACGTCTTCCACATTTCCCACACTGACTCGGCATTATCCCACGTGCCATCGTCCAAGGCCTGCCGTATCCCGCTGAAGGTGTGGGTTAAGTACTTGGCCTTGAAGACAGCGATGATTCCCTGGTCGAGTGGTTGGAGCAATGATGTTGTGGTCTTGGGCAGAAGGATCACCTTAACATTTTTGTTTGCAACCTTGAGGGCCTCAGGGTGGCCAAGACAGTTGTCAATCACGAGAAGGACCTTAGACTCCAGGTCTTTCTCCTGCAGGTAATCCTTGACCTTCCTCACAAAATAATTGTGAAACCAGTTGGTGAACAACTCTGCTGTCATCCAGGCTTTCTTGTTGTGGCGGTAGCAGATTGGGAGGAGGTGCACATCTTTATTCTTGAGTGCACGCGGTTGCTTGGCACAGTACAGCAGCATGGGCTTGATCATGTGTCCTGCAGCATTGCCACATAGCAAGGGACACACACACGATCTTTGGCCACCTTGAAGCCCAGTGCACTCCTTTCCTCCTTGGAAATGAATGTCCAGGTTGGCATCTTCTTCCACCACAAGCCAGTTTTATCAGCATTGAAAACCTGCTACAGCTTGTAGCCCTTCTCCCAGATAATCTCGGCAAAGATTGCAGGATTCTCCATTGCTGCTGCATCATCCGCCGAGGCTGACTCACCAGTAATCCTCAAGTTGTGCTGGTTGTAGTGCTTCTTGAAGTTCTCAAACCAGCCCTTACTGGCATGAAAACCTTTCTTTGAGGTGTCACCAGAACCACCAGCACTAGCACCACCTCCACCATTCACTTCCACCTTCACCACCTTCCTCAGCAAGGAATCGGTCATACAGGACCTTGGCTTTATCATGAATAAACTTCTGGCCGAGAGGGATTTGGCAGCGATTAAAGTCCTCAATCCAGACGTTAAGGGCTTTCTCCATCTTCACCATAGCTGTATCCCTTACATTAGTGGCTACCTTGGCAGAAGAGGGGACACTTAGGGCAACGGCATTACGAATCTCCCTCTCTTTCTTGATGCCTCACGCTTTGGCCACTCAGTTTGTCCAGCAATTGTATTTTCTCTCTTCACTTGTTTGGACACCTTCCTGCAGATGGACGGAGGTGGTTGAGGGTGTTTGGGAGCCATCACAAGCAGGGGAAGCACAGTTGTTAAAGAGAGCAGAGTAGCATACATGAGATGGACAAGTGTTTATCCTGGACCGAGGCAGAGTAAACACATGGGCCAGCCTCCCGGGACAACAGTGACACCTTGCGGGACACCACAAAACTCGCTCGCTCCCTGTCCCGGCCGCAAAAATGACGCCAACTTTAAAACTACCCGCAGACATTCTTGGGTACATCCAGGGTGTCATCCGCAAATAATCTGAAGGCCACAAATTAAAAACCTACAAATTGTAAGGGCATGTTGTCATGTCAAAATACTGTATTCCAAACTTGGTTAATTTGGATTTTCGGTTATTTGAGTGACCCAGAGCCCCTTTTTGTCAAATTAACGAGGGTGTTAAAATATCAATTGCAGATAAGTGGGGTTGTGAATAGCGAGGTATTTCTGTATAACTTAATAGCCCCAAAAATGTGATATAAGTGGGAGGGATAATGCCACGTGAATTAACAGTATGAACAAAATGCATTGTGCCTTAAAATATATTTATTCAGTTATAATTTTATCTACAAAACATGATCACATAGCACATGACAGTGATATGAAGTCTTTTATTTCTTTTACTTTAATAACAAACTTGCATGAAATGAAATGGTTGATGAAATAACTTGCATTGGTCCATAACAAATTGATGAACTGTATTCTGTGTCATCTTACACCTGAATACGAACTGAAAACATGAAAATCACATGAAAAATAAAATCAATTAATGTATATGCTAAAGTTTAACAATATATTAAGTTCTATTACACATCATATATCAATAAATATGAAGTTTCAAATTTTCCTTTAAGTTTTAACAGACAAAAATGTAATTTTCATTAATTATTAAAGGAAAATATTTGTCCTAATATTTTTAAGGACTGAAAATAAAAATAAAATAGATTTATAAGGAAATTAAGATGCTTGGTAAATGGTTCAACATCTACCAAAGAGGAAAATCAAACTAAAGAAAAACTTCCAATGATCCAAATAGTCCAAATAATTGAACATCTTAATTACCTTTTAAATAACAAGAAATAATCCTCATACATAGAGAAACTATTTTAAGTTATAAAAGTTTAATAACTTAACAGCAAAGCAAACCCATCAGGCATAATGATCAAATCCCATGATCCCATTCTAACTTGGCAGGGCATCAGCTCGAGGCCCTGCAGTGACTGGTTCCTGCTGTTCCCTCACTATACTACAGGGATGCATCACTCTCACACAGTGCACCTTATACACTATACCACGAGTCTGCAGAAGCCTGCCCTCTCCCTCCTGCCTAAACTTATCAAACTTACATCATTTTAGCAAAGAAATGTATTGCACTGCTGGTAAGGTCTCCAGTACAGATTGGGAAGATGACTTTGTCCAGTCCAAGATAAAGGACGGGGTTCTAGGGTAGTGGCGGCATCTACGGCTGTGGCAGGTCCCCCCACCCAGCACACAGGTCAACTTAAATGGATGAATCACCCAAATAAGCTACATCCACCTGAGGTTACATGCACCTCAAATTAAATAATTAAGAATGCACCCCAGCTTTTTAAGTTATCACTCTAATTCAAGATCATCCCTCAGTCTCTTCCTACTTTGGCCGAGGTTCACTACAACAGCTTGGGAGTTACCGTTGTGTTTCCCCCCTGGGTCAGAGTAATTATTGGATATATGGTCTACCATAGTATCCATTATTCTGGCCGATAATTTTGTTCCAGAGCCGTCGTCCGGAGGAAACCCTCCGCCAGAATCTGGTTTTCCATGCTGTGGTGGGAAATCATCCAATGGTGGTACATAGTAGGCAGGGGTTTTGGAGAGTGTGCGCTGCCGCTTTGCTGTAGGAGTGTAGTCATGGTCAGTCAGTGCTTGCACTAATGGCTTCTCCAGGTCAGAGGCCAGTTCATCATCAACACCCTCCAATACCTCCAAGGTACTTGGTACAATAGCACCATTTCCAGCCTCTAGCAGACTACGTGAATGACCTGCAAAAAATGTCTTTATTAAAATTTACTGTATGAAAAACCTAATTCTTCAAACTAGTGATATAAATTATATAAATTACATTATATTAAATATTAATCTCAAACATCAACTCCCTAACCCCCGAAAGATATTTAAGAAATTAAAAACATCACATGACAAGGGGATGATGAAGTTAGGGTTAGGTGATTACAGATGCTGGCTGTGATGCAGATTCACCACACAAAGGAATTAGACATAAGAAAAATCGTGGACAACTTTGACACCAAGCAACCGAGATGGATGCCAATATATAATAAATAATATAATGGTTGCCCTTTGTGTAACGAGGATGGCCGGCCTTAGGGCCACCTAGGCGTAAATTTGTTTAAGGTGTATAAGCTGTCGCCAACAACAACCACACTCTACGTTAACGAGTTGCATGACCCAGTATCAAGGAATAATCCGAGAAGACTGGACAACTGCACTGGCTAACCATTACCCCAGAACATGATCCCCAAATTGATTAACATCCAGGTTCCCAATTACTGCTGGATAGCCAGAGGTAAAGGGCGTAAAGAAACCTTCCATAGTTTCACCCTGCCCGGGGATCAAACACGGTTCCGCTTGCTTGCGAAGCGAGCATGCTGACCATTAAACCACAGGTCGCCGGGCTAATATATTGAGTATAATATACAAATAATAAAGACATTAAATATCGTACAGGAAAGCCTCCGATAATGATGGTTCTACTAACGATGAATCATATTTAAGTCCCTGGTTAATTTAGGTCTCAATTCAATTTATACCGTTATTTTCTTCATATTTACGATGAAAATAGAATAAAATATAATATAAAATTAATATTCATATAAATAACTAAATCTTGATATGTATAAAAGAAAAAAAACGCCTTGCGCGCGGATGCTGCCGGGCTTGTGAGTGGCGACGCCAGCATCACTAATATAACAGTCGCAGCTTGGCGGGCCTTTTGTTTACATGCATCTGAACAGGAAAAGGAGAAAAACTTTCTCAGGTTTCTTAAGGCATTTTTGCATCCCTATTCAACATGAGCAAGAGAGCAAGTGATGGTAGTGCTGGTTCAAAAGCTAAAAGAAAGTGTCTATAGAAGCTTAGCCGAGAAACTAGATGTGTTGAAACGACATGAAAAAGGTGAGAGGTCTGTGGATATTATATGGAGCAAGCAATGAACATATTTTTTGAAGTGGATCCATTAACAGAACGAAGCATTATAATTAATGGAGGAGAAAAACACATATGACCTCTACATAAAGAGGTATAACGAGAAAAGAAAGCAGCTGTGCAAGGTTCTTTCGACAGCTTTATTATTCGAAGGCCTAAACCATCAACTTCAGATACGGCTACACCATCAATTTCAGGTACAGCTACACCATCAATTTCAGGTACAGCTACACCATCAACTTCCAGTTCAGCTACACCATCAAATTTAGCATCAGCAGCAGCTTCAGCAACTACAGGTTCAGAAACAGTTTTTGCAACAGCTATGACAACTTTATGAAAAGCTACAGCTTCAGCCAGAGTTTTCGACATTACCACCATTGGTGAGTAGAATTTTTAAAACATTTATGAACAGTAAGAAGTGTTGCTTTCATATTCTTTTGAAGTAAAATGACAACATGTTTTCACATATACGCACTTACGGTTCATACGCTGGCATTGCGCAATCCGTCTCGCTTTTTTTCTTTACCATTAGTGGTCAGCTACGTACTTACATTGTTCCATTTATTAACATTACTTAAAACAAACATATCCATTTTTTTACATTAATTTTACTACAGTTACAACCAGGGTCTTATTTCCTTCAGTTTCATATGTAAAACCATCGTCATGGGTGTAAACACTACCAAAAACAATGCCGTCTCGTCTCCTATTGTGTCTTTTAATATTCTATGCATTATTAATGAATTTTATTGTTCATTTTGCATATACTCCCCTGTATAAACATTAATTCAATCAAATACATTATCAGTAATAAACAAAAATGAATCTTTTGTACATATTCTAAATAAGATAAATGGAGCCGTTTCCTTGGGTACACACGTATACATTGGCATTCCACTATCAGTCTCTCTTTTTTCTTTACCATCAGTGGTTATTTCTACTGTATATTAAATAACATTAATTAAAACATACATATTTTTTTTTTACATTAATTTTACTACAGCAACAACCAGGGTCTTATTTTCTTCTTTTCTGATGGATAACTGACATTACGGGTGTAAACACTAACAACAATGGTGTCCAATCTCCTCTTGTGTGACCATATTATTATTATTGATTTATATTGTATAAGGTGCATTCACAAACACTATTTAAAGAATATAGTACCGGTATGCATTTTTCATTACTGTTATTGTTTTTTGGGAAAAGAGGGTAGAAAGCCACACAAAACACATAAAAAGGTCAGACTTTGAAACGCATCACATTATTATTGCTTTATTTTAATGGTAATTAACGATTCACGATACGATGATTCACCTTACACTGCAATATTGGAGGACACATTACCGTCATTATTCGAGGCTTTACTGTACTAAATACAGAAATATTATTAACACAGGATATAAAGCTCAAGATATAGAACATTACTATAAATGTTCATGGTCTAAGCTCCATAGCTCAGCAAGCTCCACTCATATCCAATCGACTAAAACATTTAATCCTATACCATGCAAGGGTAGGGCATTTCTGTGATGTCTGCTGAGCTAGCCATTCCAATGCTTTACACTAAACTAATCCTTCTCTCCAGGAAAGTCTCAACACACAAATTGTGAGGACTGTAAAAGGGCATTAGATGTTTATGCTGAGAATGTTTCTTACCTGCAGAGGGCATTTTGGATGCAGGCAAGGACAGTTCACTGTCTGATCCAGTTCCATCTTGGCGTAGTGATGGCACAATGAACAAGGCTGCTGAAAGTATCAACATCATGAGGGCAGTAGATGCATGTGCCTGTGGGCGTCCACTACTTCCCCCAGTAACAGCATTCTGGAATCTTTTCATCTGTACCAGTAATGATTCATTCTGTGCTTCTAAGGTACGGATCCTTTTCTGAAGTTGTTGATTCTCTTCTGTACAAGCTTTTACCCTGTAGGAATCACAATAATTAGTAATGTGAAGTAGTGGCTGGAGGAAATGTAAGAAAGATACAACTGGCTTCAGAAGTGAGATGTAGTATAGCAATGAAACATGGTCAGTTAAAGAGGATGACAAAAAGGCTTGAGTGAGCTGAAATGAGAATGGTGAGGTAGACGTGCAATTCACTGTAAGATAGAAAACCCTATTAGGAGCTTGGTGTTAGGAGTACTGTATTGATAGTAACAGTCATGTACAGTAATTAAAAAATCTGACTTACACTAAAGAAACAACATGTTTTGTGACTGTTTAGGCACATCCCTACCTGTCTTCCAGGCCATCAATGTATTCTTTCTTGCGCTTACGAGAGTCCTGTGCAGAGATCTTGTTGCGAATCTTGCGTCTGATACGCTTGAGTTCCCTTTCCTCTTGTTTTGTCAGTGGGTAGTGGGAGGGCAGCAAGATTCCTTCTTTCTTCAGAAGCCGCTTCTCCTCATCTGAGGGGAAAAAAATAAATTACTCTACACACGTAGTACTGCATAGTATATGCCTATCTTATGTACTGTCTAGTCTGATACCTGATTCTTTAGTAAAAACAGCCCAAATTTTTCATATACCTGTACCTCATGGATAATTAGACCCTAGCTTTTGAGAAATACCAGGTATAATCCTAGACATATTTTGTATGAAGACATTAGATTCACATCGTGACCACCACTACAACAGCTGATGCTATGAAACTCTGAAACTGAATTTCTGCCGGAGTTACCAACTCCTATGAGGCATAAGATAAAATAATATATATTATTTTATCTTATGCTGAACAATGAAACATTTGTCAATTGTTTCACTACAACTCAGGAGTCAGAACCCTCCTCTGCTCAGTGTGCTAACTCTTAACACACTAAGAAATGTTTATTCCCATTATGCTTTTGACCTTATGATAATTATTTCTTACTTTTGCACGTTTTGTATGCAAGATCGAGTAAAAATAAACAAAGTTAAAGAAAATTATGTAGCTATAACTACCCATAATTATAGGTTGAAAAATAACCCTAGGGGTTGTGGCTACAGTAACGAGTCTCAATTGGTTATAGTGATGAGTCAAAGTTGGTAAAAATGCCACCAATGACGTTAATAGATGCAAAATTAACTGTAAATTTTCATTTACATCAGGCATTTGTAGATTTAAAGCAGCATACTGTATAGAGTATAGTAAATGAGGATCTGCTCTTCATGTAGTAACAAAGAAAGTATCTAGGGGTATGGTATGCAAACCCAGGTTAAAGGAGCTTATTGGTAAGGCTAGCCTACCATGAATATGTATGTCGGGTAGCTATCGGTCACCATAAATGACTAACGGAAATCCATGAATTTTAATCCCCTTATTTTTGGCATAAAAATTTAATCATACAAACTAGGACTATACTTCACTGCATACAGTACATTAATACAATTACTGTAGATGAAAGTGAAGTTGGTTGACTGCAGTGCCAACCATGTGTACTGAAAACATTCTGCTTTAACAATGGTGTGTTTATATATATATATATATATATATATATATATATATATATATATATATATATATATATATATATATATATATATATATGTGTGTGTGTGTGTGTGTTATACAGCCAGATAATTGGTGCATGCCACATTCTTGCAACCACTGTATCGGGTTATATGGCCTGTGTACAGTTCGCTCCTGCCCAAAATGAAACAGCATTGTCCCCAAATGAGATGAAAAAGGCTGAATAAGTTCTGAGACTCATTCTCGTGACTCAGTTTCATCACGGGGATCGAACTTTGTCCCTCTCCTCATTTTAATAGGAATTATGTAGTTAGAAACAAATGTTGCAGTTACAAGTTTCTAAAACCAGTATACATTATAAAGTGGAAAATTCTTGAGTGGCAAGGCTTGCCACGGTCGGGTTTAGGCGCCAGCCCAAACAACTTTCTTAACAGGTTACGTCTCTGGACCGTCTTTTGCATCAACGGTGGATTTCAAAATTAAAGTATGCCTTAGTCAAACTCACTAACGTCTTGTGCTTTCAATGTGATAAAACTCAATACAGTATTCATAATTGTTTTTGTATATGTATTTGAATTTTGTTCCTATGTTGTAAATACTGCCACGAACCGTTTTTTTTTCACAAAATACAAGTTTTATTCAGGTAGTAATTTGTTTTCCAAACGACCACTGCTCATTCTTCGTTTAAAAAAATAAAAATACAGAAATTAATACAGTACCCTGTAACTTCACTTGCCCACTAAAGAACTAACAATAACTGTTGGTGGTAACATTTTCTTTGCGTTCACGTTCATTATATGTTCAACATGGCGCCCGGAGCTAAAACATTTGTTGTAAGCAAAAACTCCATTTTCTAAATTACTTACTTCTGGGTCCAGCGATAAGAACAGTTACAAATTACGATTTTAAGGTAGGAAATTAGTCAGGACTGTCCAAAATTAATTACTACTGGCAACAAAAAGATTGAGAAAAAATAAAATTTAACGGGACGATTCGATGCCAAGTTCATTATTATTATTATTACTTTATGTACGCTAATTTACTCTCCAGCTGCGTGAGAAGCGGTAAGGGACTTTCACGTACGGGTCTTTGTCAATTCAATTTCAATTGTTTATTCCTTGATAGAGGAAGCGGGATCCTAGTGCTGTCACTAGGTACCCCTGTACAATAACACCAGAAGCATCTGGCAAGTGTGACAAGTATATACAGTATAAATATTCTAAGCGAGCTTACTAAAGCCTAAGGAAGGAAGGATATTCCTTAAACACATAATCAATGTTATTTACATAATATCTGGCCAGTATGGGGAGGATCATCATGTCTCCGTCAGGGGGTCGTGGAGTGGTGGTCCAGCTCTTTTTTGAAGTAACAGAATCTATATTGTCAGAAGTAATTAAAAATATTTATTTCTTTGTAATAAAGACTACATTCACATAAATATCACAGACGTTTCATAACTTCTAAAAGTAGCTGACAAACTTCTTAACTAACAACACTGATTATTTGGTCACCCACACGCGCCGCTGGGTGCGGTTGTGCCCGAGAAGCTAAGGGTGTGGCTACTAGGGTGGGTGTGGCTACCTTCAACACATCTATTACCAAGTGTCAACATTTCCGAAAATACTTCATTTTTTCTTCATATAAGCGGATTATTTTAAAGAAATATTAATTAAACTGCCAATCCAAACACTCCAACTAAATTCATTACAAGATTATAATATCGACACAAATAAGGGTCATAAAAATTATTGTCATGTTAACGAAGTTTACATATAATTTCGTAAAGCCGCCACTTTCAGCTAGATGTACCACAAGCGGTGAACTTCATTGAAGTGGCATTGTGACTAATGCTAAATTTCCTTAAACAAGTTGAATTATATATTGCAACTACAGACATTAGGGAAACGTCCGGTGTGTAGTTAGATGTTGCAGCGGCACAAGAAATACTGTACTGTACCAACATAGCCAGCCGCTACGACTTCAACCTTATATAATAAGGAACTGTCGGATTGCGAGTGATTACTGATCAGATGCGAGGCCTCCCGCCAACACTGATTGATATTAAAGAGAAACGTGGAGAATAAATTTTCAATGTAATATTTTCTTATGCCTGCCGCACCTGACACTACTCTAGGATACCTCCTTGGTGACCAACCCCCACGCTATCAGCACAAGGCGTATCAGGGCTGGCCTATATAATTGTACTCACTTCGCTCTTTCTTATCCTACGCCATATATACGTGATAAAGTAAAGGGGAATAACATTTATAATTCAAACACTAACTCACCTAACAAGCGAGGCAGCAAAAGATAGCGGCATGGGGCCGTCAGCCACACCATTACAACACAAGTGATGCGCTACTCGTAAAGTTTAAGCACCAGGCCAGGGTTGCAACAACTTGTCTCTCCACGTTCTCAATGTTGATCGCCAGCCATAAACTTACATAAACTTCTATTAATCCACAACCATACAGGCACGTGGTTTCAGTGACCAAGTTCGTGTCTAACTTCTACCGACATTTTAAAATTAACTACATAATTATGATGGTCATTCTGAGCCAACCATCAGATCTATATTTGTAATATGATCAATGCATAAGATAAATATTATTCAGAATTAAAAAAGTTGCTCTAGTTTTAACTGAAGGCTGTGTGTGGAAATTCACGGAAAGAATAAGTCTTGTTCAACACAACGTGAAAATGAGGTATGAAAAATGCTATTTTACATACATATAAAGGCAACATTTAGGAGGTAGAGTGAAAGGAACACTACTGACACACGGTATGAACCCGTTATGTTCACAGTGACTTTAAGAAACAAAATAAGAGGAATCTTACCTTCTATTCACCATACTACAGGCGTACTCCCCTCCTAACATAAAGCCCTTCAGTACTGATGAACCTAAACGTTTCTCACCTAGTTCCGCCGTAGCCTCTTCCTCCCCCAACACTTGTACACTTTTCCTCCCCTTCCTACCTCAGCGTTTCATTGGCTACACTGACCACTACACTTTCGCTTTGTGCATGACCAGCGGCCGCCGACACAACTCAGGTCACTAATTAAGAACTACACCAAGCACATACGACTCACAACACTGCTATTAAATTTATGACATTCTCGAAAATAGACCATGACAAGAATGATTCATTTATTATGTTAATCATTGTAGCAAGCTAAAACTACCTGTTGCGGAAAGCGTTTTGACAACATCCTTTGAGAGAACTAGCTAGGCACAATCGATCATCCCTCTACATCCTACAACACCCACAGCTTTCCAAGAGGTGAAATGCAGCTTCTCTTCGCCGTCTAGCACTCCGTTGTTGATTCCCATAGTTAAATAATTAAATGAACCGAGATGATCTCTAAATATCTAGAAATCTGTACGGTCAACAACAAAAATTTCTGCGCCCGAGTGACAACCTTCGCAACTATCTCTGACATGGTAAGGTTGGTACTCCTGATTGTGTGATGTGTTCTGCATATCACGTACTATAGTTAATACAGAGGAATGAACAGGAATGCATAATTATAAAACCCGCACCTTTGTCAGAATTCTTGATCCGACCTGTCATTTTGTACTGTATAACACCGTAAAGGTACAGATTTTTATTTTTTATTTATTTTTTGCTGTACATAGCATAACAAATTAGCATTACCACCAAATAGTATGACGATGATTGAAGTACAATTATTAAGTTACTTATACCTTGAATGTAAGTCGATGGGCAATATACTACCCAAATTTCAAAACCAGGGGAATTTTTTTAAACAAATCGAGGATGGTGGGGTAGGAGGAACCGACCTACCCGCCCATAGACGAGCACCGGCGCCTCAGGCGGGCAATACCACAAGCGTGGGAGATGAGGTCAGCTTTCACCTCAAGGGACTCGATATGCGGCCAGCTTCAGTCATCAAAATGTGGACAAGAAGCATATATATAGAAACAATTTGACCGCAAA